GTTTGTTTTTTAAAATAATAAAATCACGAGACCGCGTAGCGGTCGAGGGGTTTTATTTTTAATTATTTTGCATGAAACTATTTTCCAAAAAGAAAAATCAAATAAAAAACTTACTGAGCATAGTTTGACAGATTAAATTTATAGGTTGAGTGATATACGTCTAGATTATTTCTCGAATTAAAGGAAACTATTTGACAATTCATAAAATCTGACGTATGTCTCAAAATTTATAAATATTTTTTTAAAGAAAATTCCATTAATTTAAGGTATGTAATAAGTAATAATTGATTTTTCGTAAACTAGATAACTTATTTTTTATTGTTTTTTAAAAAATGTTTGTTAAGACAAAAATCCAATATGGAGGCTAAAATGTAATCGCTGTTAAATAGTTCTAGTGATTTAATCGCTTATTTAAACGAAATTTATTCGAAAATTCAAGGCTTTTGATTGGTTCATATTATAATGAGGGAAATAATCGGCTATAATACCACAAGAGCTTTAAATTTATCGGTTTATTTCCGATTTGTTGTTGCATAGTGACGGGAGAAGAGTGTCAATTTGACAACAATTGAAATCCCGACACACAGTGGGAGGAATTTCAAAAATCGCGGACAAAATTAGGGACGCCTTATTTTAAGCCATTTTAAGGTTTATGCGGTGGTAATATTAATAAAATGTTTTTATTATGTACACAAATTTACATATTTGTTTTAAACAATTTGGAAAAGTTCGGTTTTGTCGATCCTCCATTCTCCAAAAATATAAATTAATAAACAAATATATTACGCAATATTACCTAAGCTAAAAATAGAAAAATAAACAAAAAAACAATAACAATTAAGGAATATTCGAGCAAAATCACTTATTCTTTGTAAATTTCGCATCTTTTGCTTTATTTATATCGACTACTAAAGTGACTTAGTCCAAAAAACCCTATATCGATGTTAAAATAACATTTAAAAGTTGACTTTAAAGCAAAACCGGTTAAATCCACGTTTTTTACCTACTCTCTAAAAATGAATTAGTCAAAAATGACTAATTTAATAGTTATTAGTGGCTGCTTTTTTACTTGTACCATAGTTAACCATGGAATATAATGGTATCCCAAAATTTAACATCCAATTCTTATGTAAAATTGTCCCCTGAATCCGAAAATGCCATAAAAAATTATGAAAGTGGAGCAGTTTTTGAAATATAGTCAATTCCATATTAAATGAAAAATTGACTATATCTCAAAAACTGTTTTACTTTTTTAACTTTTGACGATATTTTCGGATTCAGGGGACAATATAAGATTTATCAATAATATCCAGGTTTTCGGTTAGGTACTTTAAAAGTTTGTTGTGTTTTTCTTTGTTACTACTAACATTTTTAATAAGTTCATACAACTCCTTATTAGTCGTTGATGGCAACATGTAATATTTATATTAATATTATAACTTACCAAATATTATTATAAAGCGTTAATAAACACAAAAACACTATGAGATTGTATGTTTGATTGACTTTCACTGGAAACTGACGTTTTAGAACTAGATAAAGGCAACTATGATGACTTATAAATATTCGACTAATATGATAAATTCATGGACATATTTCATATTCTGCTGACCAAACAGGCAAAAAAAGGCAGCTTAATTCTTTTGACTTTAAAAAAAGAAAGTTTGATGAACGTTCTGGTACCAAATACTTTGCCTCACACCAAGACACACCTAAAGAAATATCTTGTGGTTTGTAAAGGATTTATCTACTTTGAAAGGCGATGGTAAATGGTTTATAAAAACCGTATTTATGGTAAAATTTGCAATTTTAGACTTTTATATGAAAGAACAAGGATAAGGAATGTGGTAAAATATACCATCATTTCCTTTCATTAATTACGCAAAACAAAAATGGGCTTGAAAAACTTACATAAAATTTGCTCTAAAAAACCGACACGAACAATGTGACTTTTTAAGCAAGTTTAACCGGGCATTTTATCATAAAAAAATATATTTCTTTTAAAATCATAATCTCTGTGCTTTCTTTTTTTATAACTCGTAATTTAAAATTTATCATGTTGATTTTTACAAAATAGGGTTTTGTCCGCGATTTTTGAAATTCCTCCCAGTGTGCGACAGCCCGCAGGGCTCGAGGGATTTTATTGTCAAATTGACACGATTCGACATCACTATGCAGGAATAAAGAGGCAATTAACCGATTTTAATTTAAAGCTCGAATGGTATTCATAAAATTATTTTAAAAGCAATATCTTCAAAAGGATTTATGGCTCTATGAAACTCTTTGTACATTTTTTCCTGTAGCAATTTTGCGGTAACATTCCACATTGTCTTAATTACTCCTTCTTTATAGTCTGTACTGTTTATTTTTTTCATATTAAATGCCCAATCCAGTAATATTTTAGCCAATTCACCTTCAGACGTGTTTTCCAGAATTTGGTAATTTTTTTATTTACAAAACTCTTCAAATTGTCGCCATATGGATGCTTGGCTTTTCTTGGTATTAATTGGCCGATTATCCTTCACCGCTTGGTCGATATCTTGTAACTGTACAGCCCCAAAGCGACTCATTTTGGAATGAAATTCACGATATTCACTTAAACATCAAATCAATATTTTGACATTTGTTAATTAATAAAATTAGCGACAAAACATTTAAAATCAAAAAATTATCGAATTATCGCTGTAATTCGCTGTAGGTTCCCTCAACAACAATGCCTCAACAATGTCCCAACAATACAGAGAACTGTCAAAAAAAATAATTGTATATAATACCACTAGTGGTAAAATTTGACCGATATATTTTTGATTTTTATACGAATGTTTTTTTCTTGGAAATTTCGCAAGTGGCATTAATTTTTAAGACCACGAGCGAGCCGCTAGCTTTTTCAGGGAAAATTTTATCACGAGTGGTATTCGGCAAGACTATTTCACGAATATTTGTAACTGCTGATTCAATTTCTGTATGACTTTTTTGACCAAAACGCATATTTTTTAACATTTTAATTTTAAAATTAAAAACGTCAACAGTGACAATTATATAAACGAGTGGTTTTTTCACCTAAATAGTAGTTTTATCGCTGTAAAACTGAAAAAACCACTCGTTTTCTAAAATCTGATTGACTATCGAAAAATTAATATTTTTTTCGGAATTTTAAATTTTAATAATTTTGATTTTTTCCACTTCCGGACATTTTGTAATATGAAAAATGATTTTTTTATTTAGCCCTTTTAACTATTAAAATTGTTTAAAAAAAAAGAGAGTGCCTATGAATTCATTGATTTTCAATCTTAAAATATTTATTATTAATAATAATTTTTTTAAAGAATTTTAATAGTTAAAAGGGCTAAATATAAAAAGATTTAATAAAAAAATATTTTTGGTAATACAAAATGTCCGAAAGTGGAAAAAAATCAAAATTATTAAAATTAAAAATTCCGAAAAAAATATTAATTTTTCGATAGCCACGATTTAATATAGATAAAAAAATTGTATTCGCTTAAAGATTAATAACAAAAAAAACAAAAATTAAAAAAAATACAAACAGTGTAGAAAATGGATTTTTAGTTTTCGAAGAAAAAAATCATAGTGTGCCGATATGCCACAGCATCAAAAATATTTATTTCAAATAGCTTGTTTCAAGACAAGAAAAATTGGAATTGGAACCAGTTATGATCGATGATATATTGGCAAAATCGTTATAATCATGAAAATTATAAAAATCATATCTCCAAAAACAATTGACAAACCGTGCTAAAATTAAAACTGAATTTTTATTTTGAGTCAGGGAACCCATGGAAAAATTTCCATGGAATTTCGAAATGGCAAGGGTTTTTTTCGTGTCGAATTCACATGGAATTCCCCATATGTAATTTATATTATTAATCTTTCAACAAAAAAGACTTTTTCAATTTTTTTCACCTCAAAATTTACTAAATTTTAAAGGGTGGTTTAGAATCCAGGATTTTTCAAAAAATAACAATAAACGTACGTCGTAAAGTATGAAATAACCTCATGGTTAATTTAAATTAATATTATTTTGAAGAAGAGCCATAACATGAAAAATATAATAAAAATAATAAAAACTGTATAAACCTAAATAATACTTCTTACTGTTTAAGACTCCAAACCTATAATTTAAATTTATAAATATGTTATGTTATTGTTTCAAACAAAGTTATTTCTTATAACTAGTCGTCAATAATAAATAATTTACAAGGACAAATTTGTTGATGCCCTTAGAAAGTCCACCTTTTTCGGGTCACAAAAAAAACCAATTTAGAATTTAAATAGGACAACCACAACATATTCAATACAAAGGATAAAATAAAAATAACTTTGAAGTTGTTATTATAGTATATACAGGGATGTCCCAGAAGTCACGCACCACCTTAAAGGTGGGCCTCCAGGAATATTTTTTTAAATGGCAACATTGAGTATTAAAAAGTGTCAAAATAAATTGACCAAACTCGTTGACTTGATGGAAGCAAGTACAGGGACTGCCAGGAACTTATAAAACCATATATGGTTCTATAGAATAAATCTAAAAAGAAAAACACACAAGCTTAATGACTTGCATTTTTTAGCATTCTTTAAAAACAACATACATATCACAATACTCAGTGAGTACTTCTCACTAAGGAAATACATAACAACATTTAACAGAAATGCTATGACAGAATCTAATTTTATATTTCATCTTCAATTTGTTTGAACATATTCCAAACTCATGCCTATTATTAAAGTAAAATAATAAAGGTAGCATTTTTTAAACAATTTTCTGGGGTCTGTAGATCATACACCTTCAAGGTAGTGCGCGACTTTTTAGGACACCCTGTATTTATCTTTTATTATTATATTTTTATTAATCCTTTAAATAAAATGGATAATATTATTATTTACAAACAGCATCATAGGAGCTAATGATTAACCTTTGACTTTCTTTATCCATTTTGCATTTTTTGAAAATAAAGTTTATTGTAAAGTCAATTTAGTATGATATTCAAAAATGTTATATGCACTTCCTAGACTTTCTCAATGCCTTGGCCTATGTAAAAACATAATATCTAATAACACTTATAGTTATAAAATAGTTAATAGTGCTAATTATAGTTTAGTTAGCTCTTCAAATGCTGAACATGTAGTAAAAGGGGTAAGAATTGTTTTGAGTTTGTACCTATTTGAATATTTAAATTGAATATCATTTACAGTGAAAAACAAAATCGATAGTACTAGAACTTTCAAGTAAACATCCAGTTTACAAGTTGAATTTTTTATAGGCTTTATATGATTGATTTTAAAATTATAGACGGGACGGGACGATTATTTAAGAATAATACTCACGCTTTATTGAGTTTCTTTCTACGAATAAGCGTCATGATTTTTTTAAAACCACGTCTTTCTATTCTAGCTACAAAATAATTACTTTTTTCGACACCTACACTTGTAATTAGGTTTATTTCTGATAATACATGGGTAGTTTTTTTCTACATAATAAGTAGGTACCTACATAAAGTAAGATTTTAATCAAATCGTGCCACATAAAATTTTAAATTAATGTTCTAGCCCAATGGTTTCTTCCTATAATTTTAAATACTCGTACATTATTTATTTTAATAAATAATTGTTTCTAAATATATCAATCAGTAAGTCATTTGGAATAAAAAATGTGATAAGCATTTTGGTCAATTCTGTATTTTTAATATGATCAAATGTTTCCGAGCGCTAGTCAATTCACTGGGGTAAAAACAAAATAGCATAGAATTAAGGTTAGGTATTTGAGTAATAGTAATAGAATATTAGAGTAATAAAGGTTAGGTACAGTTAATTTTTTTTATTTGGACTCGTGTTTTTTTATTAAATTGCTAGCTTATGCCAGTTTGATTTAGTATTTTTAGTATTTAAAAAATGGTACTTCTGCTGAAGACCTTAATTAAATACTCTGACACTGTCAAATTGACAGTAATATTTATTATTAATAACTTACTTGTTAATTATTATATCGATATAAAAAGGTAACTATGACAAAAATAATATCGAAACTTCATTTCGATGAAGTTATCATTGGCCAAAAAGAAAGTTATGCCAAATGCCTCAATGGCAGAAAAATAACATCGCCTTATGGGCATTTTTGGAGTAAAAAAGTAACGTTTTTGGTTTTACAAATATTAAATCACACAAAAATATTTAAAATTTAAAAAAATAAGGGGGAAGTAATGATTGGACAACATTCACGTCACAACATAAAATTTTAATTTCTTTTACATAAATTCTTTTCAAAGCGAAGATTATTATCCGCTGGGAATACTTGTCTCTCCTGGGCCGTAGTCACCTATATTTAACTACTTTCTTATATAATTTTACTCCACCCACCACCAAAGCCAAACTAATTTCATTTTTAACTACGAATTTCGACAACTCAACCGTTCAATGTAACCTACAATAATTTGAACATAACCACAATTACATTATAATTGCATTTATAACTAGTTTAGTTTGTTTTAATCAATGCAACCAATTTTGGTTCCTTATTTACCAACCAAAACCCTAAATTTGCAACGTTGCCGCAGTCCAGATAAAAAATGAACTTTATCTGTCACTGACAATACGCTGCTTGAGGGTCATGACGTCATACTCCGAAGCCAAATAGCATTAAAATTGTTAATGTAAACTTTTTTTTAAACATTTTAAAACGGTTACTAATTGATATCCTAGAATTATTAAAGAGTGTTTCATAACACCCTGTACATCAGTGTATAGTAACTATAATAACTGTTATGCTTTGTTATATATTTTTTATAATTTGATAATTTCAAATAATGCAAATGAAAAATTTCAAAAAATTTCTGTCACACTATGTCATATAAATGTTTTTCACCGTCAACATGCGATAGTAAGGTAATTTAATGTAGTTTAATTTATGATAATATTTGGTAAATTTTCACTTTAGCGACTTTTCCGAAAAACGGCAGGAAAGTTGCCAAAATGCCAAAAATAGGTGTGGAGGGATGTAAAAGTGCATAAACAATCGGCGCAGGGTGAAAAAGTTGTATAATTATCGCGTATTTAATAAAAAAAGGGGCTGATAATTGAAGTGACTTACCGTGATTTTCTGTGAAAAAGAACATGCAGCGAGCCAAAAACACGTATCTAATAGACGTAGAATTTGAAAGTGGAAGTGAAAAAGCGTGAATTATGAAAAACAACGTCATGAATTGAGGAAAATGCAATTTTTAAAATCAGGTAATTTGAGGTTATGACGATTAGCTGTCATCTTGGTTATGCAGGTACACTAAAATGGGCAAAGGTGAGCGAAACCAACCCAAACCAACCCAAACTTAACAACCCAACCCAACCGACCCCGCCCCATTGGCCCCCCCCGCCCCATTGAGCAATATAGGTATAATATATCTATGGGCAGGCTGGATTGTGAACCTGCATAACCTCAAATTACCTGATTTTAAAAATTGCATTTTCCGCAATTTATGACGTTGTTTTTCATAATTCAAGCTTTTTCAATTCACTTTCAAATTCTACGTCTATTAGATACGTGTTTTTGACTCGCTACATGCTCTTTTTCACAGAAAATCACTGTAAGTCACTTCAATTATCAGCCCTTTTTATTAATTACGTGATAATTATACAACTTTTTTACCCTGCGCCGATTGCTTATGCACTTTTACATCCCTCCACACGTATTTTTTGCATTTTGGCAACCCCCAGTCCGTTTTTCGGAAAAGTCGCTAATGTGTAAATTTAATTAATATTTAGTTAGTAAATAATAGAAATAAAATGAATTAAATTTTATATAATTTTACAAATTTTTTTATGAATTGTTAGTGAAGACAACTTATGAACTTTAAAAACGTCTATTTTTTAAATTACAAATTACGGTTAAATAAATTTTAAAATGGTATATACAGGGTGTTTTACATTCGTGGTCCATTAGAAGTTTCTGGGGAACGGACAAAGATATCGATATAAAAGCGTTTATAATCCTATCCATTTAAGTCTATTTTTCTAAAATATTTTGAACAAGATGTCACTTCCGGTTTAACCGGTTTCTTGATACAAAATAATATTTAAAATTTTAGAAATTATTAAATATCTTTTAAATTATTAACTTTAAGTTTAGGGAATAGTTACATCAATCAAAAGGTTTTTTAATTTACTATTTGATTATGTAAATACATACCGGGTGTTTTAAAATAAGAAAGTTTTTTACTTTTTAAGTCTTAATTTGCCATGGGTTTTCTCAGGTAATTCGTTGAAAAACGTTAAAGAATTGACTTAAAATATTTTAAATCATGTTTTAGATTCAAAATTTATAAATTGAGGGTAATTTAATAAAAAAATAAAATTTCCAAAATTAACGAACACACCTGGTTTTATTAATAGAATTATTGGTGCTAGAGTGACAAAATTTAAAATTAATCGTTATTTGGATAAAAATATTATGACAAAAAAAATAAAAACAAATTTTTGTACACTTTTTTTTGAGCGGTCACTTTGTATTTGTGTGTCACCCTATTTTGCATTTTTAAAGATTTAGTTCAAACAAAAACCTGGCATAAAATGTAAAATATTTTACAGAGAGACTTGCAAGCCTTAAAAGAGACCTCAAAGTGGTAAGAACAATCATTTTACTCCTCTTTTGTAAAAAATTAACCTTATTCTATCAGGGCTATTTTACAACCCACAAATTAACCTTCAAATTGACATTTGACAGCCCTGATACAATAAGGTTTATTTTTTACAAAAGTAAAATGATTGTTCCTACCACTTTGAGGTTTCTTTTAAGGCTTGCAAGTCTCTCTGTAAGAAACACAACGTTTAAACCGATTATTAATCTGTACAAACCCAAAGCACAAGAATTGTAAATAACAAAAATGGCCGCCATTGTATGATGTGCAGTGTTGCAGTGATTTTTAGTGTTTTTAGTACGAGATCGAACAGACCTTGTTGTGTGGATTGTGACCACAATTACATTATAATTACATTTACTATAGTTTAGTTTGTTTCAATCAATGCAACCAATTTTGGTTCCGAATTTACCAGCCAAACCCCTAAATTTGCAACGTTGCCGCAGTCCAGATAAAAAAAATGAACTTTATATAGGATAGTATATATATACTTTTTCTAAGACAAATACTTATTATTACTTAAAAATTTATTTAAACTAAATATTTGTATAGAGCGAGATCTATAAAACAATAGAGTAACCATTCTAACTTCGCCGGTTAACGTGTAAAATTTGTATGCGTTGATAAACTATTTAATTTTTTTTATTTTTATATTGTGTAAGATAATAAAATAGTTTTCACATTTAGTATCATTTAACAAGAAAGGCACTTTATTTTAACGATTGTATGACATTTGACAACTAACTTAAAACTAACTTTAGCCCATAACTAAAAACCTGTTGCTAACTTCATCCCGTGACTAAAGCGTCATAAAGCCACAACTTATCAATGTATATTTAAAAGGTCACTTAGTGTCATGGAAATATGTACGATAATGGGCGTTTTAAAGGTGGGAGTAGAAAAAATATTTAATTGGCATTCGTACAATACAACAGAATGCAACGTCATTACATAATAGCGGACGTGCCATTTAAATTTAATAATAATTAACAATTAAATATAATTATCAACCGCGTATCAGTAAGCATTATTAAAATAGGTATTGTGATACTCGCGAGCAAAAACTTATCTAAGTAAATCAAAAATAAAAACAAACATTTTATCTAAAATCTAATATTTCGATGGTGTAAAAATAATTTTCACGGTTTTGGCAAGGTTCATTTTTCAATGTCGGACGGTTTTAGCCACCACACAACTTTAATCGTTTCTAAAGTTTAGATCAGTTTTCTTTACTTCGTAGTCATTCGTTTGTTTTTTATCTCCGCAATTCTAAATGGTGAGTGATTCCTAGTCATTTGTTTTGTTTGTTTGTTTGTTTGCATAAGTCGTTGATAAATTTCATTTAAGTAATTTGCGACACGTGATCATTTTTTCTGTCTATTGCCGGCGTTAAAAATAGTCAACATTTATTATGTAAGCTATGTATCTGCAATACCTGCTTAGGTTTTTGAACGATTAGAGGTAATAAATATATTTGCATTTTTCAAATTGTATTAATTTAAATAAAAATAGATAAGATAACTTGTATCTATTTGGTTTATCGTTTTTTTAATACTTATTTTATAAATAACGCTTTTGCAAAAAGTTATTTATTAAAAGTATGTATATCAAAAAAACGTAATTAATGCATCTTAAAATATTAAAAATTCATATATTTAGTGAAAATGTCTTATTTATATAACTTTTTAGGCTCCTCTCCCTGAAATCAAAGTCCCCATTATTTGGATCCTGGGAGGACCTGGCTGTGGCAAAGGAACCCAATGTGATAAAATTGTAGCTAAATATGGATTCACCCACTTGTCATCGGGAGATTTGCTCAGAAACGAGGTAACTTTTTAAATTGCTCCCCGTTGGTTTTTTGACAGTAAGCAAGCCTATCCAAAAATTCTCTTGTGTCCAAAAAAGTACGGACAGGATGCGAATAGTGTGTTGAAACCAAATGGTATCACTTTTTGCCGGTATTGGGAATTTGCCTCTACTACTCTCTAAAAATGAAACAATGGATTTTCACTGATTGACATTGCATATTAACTATTTGCTGCAGTGATAAGTATACCACTAGCAATTAGTGAATACTCACTTTTTCATGTAGCGATTTCTTTGCACTAATTTATTTAGTGGAAATTACACTGTACAAATTAGTGAAATAGGTTTAGTTAAAAAAAATTAAAATTTCACAATTTTATGTCGAGAGTTCCGGAAAAGTAGTGATAATAAAAAACACTAATTTGGAGAAGTTAAAATTTCACTAATTTATATTGAAAAACACTAATTTTACATTGAATAATAACTCACTGACGAAAATAGTGAAAATTTCACTGTTTCACTTTTAGAGAGTACCCAATGAGGATTTTCGCTGCTCCAGTATCTACAATTTTGACGGTTGACTGTACCATTCAAACATAAGGTAGCTTCGTCCGAAAAAAGTATTTCACGAGGAAATTGTGGATTATTGTTCAAATTCAAATTTATCATAGTTTCATAAAATTGTAGTCTACGGTCCAGATCATCTTCGTTAAGTTTCTGCACTAGTCTAATTTTGTAATTTGTATGGATGGTACTTTTCTTTCTTCATACGACGTAATACTGAGCGTTGGCTGACTTAACTTTCAGATGCGACTAGGCTTTAGCTATAGCGCTAGTAGCACTGTGGGGATCTTCTTCCACACGTAACAAAATGTCAATTTTAGTGTCTTCACTAATACTCAAACGGCCAGGTTTCGACATGTCGAGTCTTTCTGGATTTCCGTTTAATTTTACCAACTGTAGCATGAGTAGTAGGTCGAGCTGAGTACTTTGCATTTAATAAATTGCAAACTTCTTATTGTGTTCTAGTTTTATTGCCACATCCTTTGAGAATTAAAACTTCAATTATCTGTGTTTCCGTTAAATGGCCCATATTTAAATACTCCGAAATATTTGGAGAACGCTTAACAGATATGTACTGCACTGAACGTTCAACTAAAAGTTTTTACATCTAGTAGTGAATATTTGTTTTAAATTATATGCTAACAAGGAAATATAAAATAAAAAACTTCCATATATCGACACTTAATTTTATCAAACCTTATTAAAAAGTCTTTTTAATAAAAAATACAAAACATCAAAACATTATTGAGAAACATAATCGGTCTTTCTAAGAAAAAAGCCGAATTTTTTAATAAATTTATCCCATACTTTTGCCGGTCACTGTATATATTGTAACAAAAGAAAGGGAATTAAAATGCACTTATACCTGTAGATATTGCTTATAAATTTTTGTTTAGCAGTTTAGCAATAATAAACGATAACAGCCCATGTAATCTTGCAACTTTAATAATTTACTCGAAAACTAGACGGTCAATCTTTCTAAAACTACTACTGCGCAAAGTTGCACTTTTCCGAACGCATTTGCATTTAAAATGTACGTAAGTATGTTGATTTTAAACAAAATCAAAATTAAGTGTCAAACAAAGTAAAAATTCATAATATATATATATTTATTTTTCGCGAAATTGAAATGAACATTTTGGAAGAAGGGCTACCATATGACATCCAAAGCAACAAATACTGTAAATGAGAATAGCGAAATCCTGTCAAAAATATGAGAAACAATTTAAGGCAAGAAGAGCTCTCAAAGATAATGATAAAGAAAATTTGTTAATCGTGAAAATTTTGGACAGTAAAAATTACACATCAAGAATCTTTGTGATATCTGATGAAATCAATAATGGTCATTACTTACAACTGTTTCGAAAATATTCAAATTTTCGAAAACCAAATACCCCACACAAGCGGTTTTTTGTCAATTATAAGAGAAGAGCATGCACTACCCAATGTGTAGGAATTAATACATTTGGTAAAATACCTGCACAAATAGCTGCATATCTAAAACTTAAAAATCCTGAGGAATACACAGGTCATAGTTTTCGTAGATCTTCCGCTACCATATTAACCGATTCAGGGGAAGGATTTCCAATGTTAAGCGACTTGGAGGCTGGAAATCAACGGCTGTCGCCAAGAGCTACATAAAGGAATCCATGACCCAAAAAAATATAATATTGAACATTCTGAGTTAAGCCAAACTTTATTAAATAGTACAAGTCACCCGTTGAATGAATTAACCTGTTCTACAATTAATTTATAAAATATTAATAATTGTTCCTTTGTAATAAAAATTAATAAAAATTAATTTAATAATCATTGTTATCTGACTTTGCGCACGTTAGTAGAAAAAATATTGTTCCTAATATATGCGCAAAGTAATTTTTCCGCACTTACTGCAATTGCAGTAGCTTGCGGAAAAATGTAACTTTGCGCACTTGTTAAGAAAATAACTATTAAGTAGACTCTACTACAAACTAAATTTTTTTCTCATAGCATCTAATATCGTTCTCGAACCTTAAGACGTGTACACTTTTAAAATTTTTATTTATGTTGTCTACCCTACTTATTAACTCCAAATTTAAGCAATCTAAAAGTCCTAGCAGCGGAACTTAATCATTTACAATTATGAACTTTACATTAGATTGTTTGGCATTAACACAGGTATTTAAGTTTACCTCACCTATAGGTTTAATTTTAAAATTGCCATAAGAAACTAATGTGACTCTACTTTTATTCATGCTTAAATTTGTGTTAAATTTTTCAAAAACATTAGGTACTTCAGCTCCAGTATCTAATTTTACATCAATGTCTTTGTTACCTATCTTAATCTTCTTCATCCATGCTTTAGGCTGGTTTCGGGCTTTTTTTTACTTTATTTATATAAAATTCTTCATCTTCATTATCTTTATTTTCATCTGCTTCTTTTACTTCATGTAACTTCCTGTTTTCTTCCCATTTTCTTTGGTTGATTTTATTTGTCATTATCTTTCTTTGTGCTTGTCTAAATTCTAATTCTAAAACTTTCCAATTTTTTATTAGGTCTCATTTCTCATTTTCTTTGGTGGATTTTTTTTGTCATTATCTTTCTTTGTGCTTGTCTAAATTCTAATTCTAAAACTTCTCAATTTTTGTATTAGGTTCAAAGCGGTTCCTCGAGAGGCAAGGAACTTACCGCCATCATGGAACGTGGAGAACTAGTACCACTCGATGTGGTCTTGGACCTGATCAAAGAAGCCATCCTGAAGAGCCTGCCCAATTCCAAAGGGTTCCTGATCGACGGCTACCCGAGGGAAAAGGAACAAGGCGTCCTGTTCGAGCAATACATCGCACCGGCCAATCTCGTGCTGTTCTTCGACGCTTCCGACGACGTGCTCATGGAAAGGCTTTTGGGCAGAGCGAAAACCTCAGGAAGGGTCGATGATAACGAGGAGACGATAAAGAAGAGGTTGAACACTTTCCACACACACAACGACCAAATAGTAGCGGCCTACGCTGCCAAACTCAAACAGGTACCCGAATTACGTTTTAGAAATTTACTTGGGCAGCATTTTCATTAACGGAAACGCAAATTTAAAATATTTTGATCTGCAAGTCAATATCCCATTCTTATTTTTTTTAATAATTTTGATTTGTTGGGATAAAGGTGCACTTCATCAACTGCATAATATGCAGTGCATATGACGTCAGCGTTAAGGTCTATTCATACGCGCCCAGGCACAACCCAATAAACAATTTGTACTACTTATGGTAACGATAAATGATATAAAGGTTATATAAGAGTTGTCAAATTATATAAAGTTTAACAAGGTTTTATAAAATCGCCATTTAGTTTACCTACTAGTTTTATAATGGTCATTTAAGGTTACTGTAAACTCTAGGTATATAATTAGGTTATATAATTGTTTCTACAAACATTTTATATAACCTTTAGTAACCGTCATATGTTTTATAAAGTTTGTGGTTACCTGTTTTATGAAACTATTATGTCTTTAATTTATTTAAATAAAAATTGTGATTTATTAAATATTTATGTGCTTAATAAACCAAAAATGCTTAGACGCAATGCTTTTTTATAATTTTAATTAAAAATAATTATTAACATATTTTTTTTTTAATTGGATTAATTCGAATGTTTAGTAAAATAATTTTATTCCATTGCGTTAAAACCATTATTACTGCAGGCAAAAATGACGAACCTGACAACACTAACCTGAGCGGTTAAATGGTTTCCTAAATTTTTATTTATTGTAAAGTTTGTTTTTTAGAGAAATTTACATTTTTGTAATATATTCTCTAGAAAATTTGTTTTGATAAATTTTTTCTTATTTTTGTAATACAATTGGTTCAAATAAAGTCAAAAAGTCAAAAAAATTATTATTTGGTGATTTAAAACAATATATTATTTGAAATCACCAAATAATAATTTTTTTGATTTGGAAATAAAAAGAACTTTATTTGAACCATTTGTATTACAAAAATAAAAAAAAACTTATCAAAACAAATTTTCTAGAGAATATATTACAAAAATGTAAATTTCTCTAAAAATTATAATAATAATTTATGCGCAATTATTAATTACTTATGTTTTAAATGTAATTGGTGTAATATTTTTCATTACTAATACAGGTCCACAACATTCTATTGCATGTGTAATTTGTCAATTATTGTATATTATATATTATATTTTTTCTTTTTTTAGATTAACGCTGTAAGATCTCCAGATGAAATTTTCACCGAAGTTGTTTCCTACATCGATGCTATTATGAAGTAATTTTTACAATTTTTTCGTTACACCAAAGATGCACATAGCTTATGTTCTTATAAATTAAGAATTTAAATAGTCAATTTTAAGCAATACCATATAAGGTACCTACTACGGTTGTTGGGTACCTACTTATTTATCGGTCTAATGTTACACTTTTGTGAGTCACTTTCTTCAAAGTACAAACTTGTTAGATATTTATTAAAAAAATATAAATTTCACAAAAACAATTTTTTTTTATTCTATCGAAATGATTTTGAGTAATAACATAACCTGAAATATTACGTCAAAAAGTTGTCTAAAACTATTGTTCAGATGGGTTCTGCTGCTTCAAAAAATACTGTAGGTAAAACAATTTATAATTCATTCTCTTCATACAATTTTTTTATATAGGAATATCGTTTACAACGATTATCTTACGACTTAACATACGTTACCAAAAAAAAAATACCGATAATCTGGATTCAAGGCGTTAACAGTTCCGGTTCTACAATATTATCAGAAATGCTTGGTGAAAATTTTGAAATTCAAGTTATAGACGTCTTCAAAATTATACAAGCTGATTTAGAGAATGATACAGATAGAGTAAAAATTATGAAGGAATGTGCTATAAACAAAAAGCCTCCTCCTGATGTAGGTAATAGTATATTTTGTTTCAAGCTTGATCAACGCCATCCATGAATTGTTTAAAAGCCTAAAAACTGTGCTTTTAAGTAACGAATTTTCTTGACAAAGAGAAAAAATTGGGAAAAAATCAATTTTTGATTTTTTTTATATTGACACCCATACACTTTTACATGGATCGGATAATAGTATAATGTTTTCATTCCAAACATACTAGTTGTAGTTTAAAAATTATTTCTATTGTTTGTAGTTTATTATATTAGATCTTTTCAAAGAAGCTATGTTAAAAGTGAGACCTAGAACTACTGCTTTTTTGTTCGTTAAATTTCCATCAAATTTAAACCAAGTCAAAATGTTTGCCAAAGAAATCGGAGAGGTAGATTTAATTTTTTTTTTGAATCCTGAATTAACAACCGTTATTGAAAGACTGAGGTGCAAATCTCCTAATACACCGATTGATGTTCTAAAAAGAGAAACTTTGACAATGCAGAAAAACCTTGAAAAACTTTTTAAGAAGTTTTCTTCAATAGTGGAAAAGGTTTAAGTTTTATATTAATATAACTTTATAGCAATGTAGCATTTTTTTAGATTGATACTAATGATGAACCAACCAATATTTTTTATAAACTACAGAAAGTTATAACGAACAGGTTTAGCATTAAAACAGTGGATTTTATATCCGATTCCTTGACCTCTGTGTCAATATATTCAGGAGCAGATTTCTCCGAGAAGGATGATATTTTCAGTTCGGAAACCAAAAAAGAACACAAACCTTTTTCTAAAATAAATAGGAAAAATGTATAATATAAATTTATTTACAAATTAGTTTTTACATGTGATTGTATTATTTCTTTAATGTATTGATTACTTTTCAGTAAGTTATTGGGACTATCGAAATCCAAAAGTGTTCCTGAATCGAGGATCAAAATTCTATCTGAGTTCATTATAGTTTCTACCTTGTGAGCTATAGTTAGTATTGTGCAGTCTTCAAATTTTTTACATATTACATTTTGTATTAAATTATCTGTTACAGGATCAATGTTGGCTGTTGGTTCATCCAAAATAAGAATTCTATTTTCTTTTATTAAAGTTCTGCAAAGGCAAATCAACTGTTTCTGACCAGCGCTAAAGTTCGCCCCCTTTTCTACAACTATCGTATCCAATTCTAAGGACGATTCCGTGTTATTCTTCAAACCAACATCCTGCAAGGCTTTATTTAAATCAGCGGCCCTATACTGATCGTACGGATCCAAATTTTGTCTAATTGTGCCAGCGAATAAAAGCGGATGTTGAGGTATAACCGATATTTTGGATCGCAGCGTTTTGACAGACATACTTTTTGTATTAACCGAGTCTATGAAAATATCACCCTTATAATCTATCAGTCTTAAAAGCGCGGTTATCAAGGAAGTCTTTCCTGAACCAGTTCTTCCTATGATACCAATTTTTTCTTTTGCCCTTACTTCAAAGCAAATGTTATTTAAAACATAGGGATGCTCCTCTGAATACTTTAAATACAAATTTTTGAAAATGATCTGCCCACTTTGTGGCCAAGATTCTTGAGGGTCGATATATAACTCTTTTTCTTCATGTTTTAGTTTGGTATATTCAAGAGCTCTTTCGAACGAAATCATCTGATTGTCAACTTCAGCCCATTGTTTCATGCCCCATTGGAAAATTCCTGTTAACGACAAAGCCTGCGTAATCGCCAATCCAACATTTCCACTGAAAATAACTAAATATAAGTGTTAATAAGTACAGGGTGACGCAGTACTTTACGCCACCATATATGTCGTGTTACCATCATCGAAAATCAGAAAACTAAATGTAACTGATGCAACAAATATAACTGAAAGTAGGTCCAACCACAAACCAAACGATGCATTACAACTCAAATAGTTGTAGTAGGCTGCGCTATGGTTATTTTGCTGCCTATCAAATTCATTGGTTACAATACTTTGAACCCCGAATGCCCTTATTGTTGAAAGTCCTTGCATAGTTGGTATGGTGTGGTGCAAAACCAAACTTTTTGCTAAAAATATAAAGAAATCGAAATCTTGATGTTTGCTAGTGTGTGATCCATGGTACAAGAAAACCTTGTACCATGTGTTAAATATTCTTTAGGTAATTAACAAAACTACAGCTGGAAATGGTGCGCAGCACAGTCGTTTATACATTTTTAAACTCTGGACGTGATTATTGTCTTTATTACGTATTAATTAAAATACTTACAAGTGCTTTCAATTCGTTTGATATCCCTACTGCTGCTCAAGTAAACATATCTTAAAACATAAAATATTGTACATATCATCACTGAAGGTATAATAAGCCAATAGTTGGCTAGAGTAACGACTAGAATAACTCCAATGACATTAAACCCAACTTGTAAGGTATTTAAAAAAACTTGTGGCAATGTTTCATCAATGGCGCCCATGTCTTTTGCAAACCTATTCAATATTCTGCCACTTGGATTTTGGTGGAAGAATTTCATGTTGGTTTCCATAACATTTTCCAGCATGGCATGGTGTAAATTTTTTGATATACGCACGCAAAAGCTCATAAATAGAAGGGATCTTAATAGTGTAGCAACGATCATAAGAAATATTGTTAGTAAAAATATTGGGGGAAAATAATTCTTCAGGAAACAATGGTTTATTAGTTGTTCATTATTAGTATAGTTGTTAATTTTAACCCTGAAATCAATTCATTATTTATAGTGTATGAGAACCGCATGGAGTATAATTCGTTATTAGATAAGAAAAGTTTTGAATTTAGTTTTAGATTTAAAGTTATAATTATAAAATTTGAAATAAAAAATTAAAGTTTACGTGTCCAAGCGTTTTCCATAAACATCTTTTCTCATCGAATATCGAATTTTATTCCGTAAGTGTAAATTTGTGGGTTCAAACTTACCATAATAATGTAAAGTAATCAGCACTGCTTAGGAAAACTTGTGAGAATACAAACAGAAAACATATTACTACAGTCCAAGTAATACTTTTTCCATAAGAAAAATAATTGAGGTAATCTTTAAAAAAAATATTTCCAGTGTTTCTACTTTCCAAAAATAAATTGGGTTCACCATAAGCCTTTTCAGTTTCGTTGGTATTCGTGATCTTACTTTCTTCCTCAATACTTTCAGTAGGAAAAAAGTTAAAAAAATCATTTTTCTTTTGAAGACTTTCATAGCTTCCACATATCTCAACCTTACCTCTATTCAAAACGTAAATTTGATTACACTGACGTAAAAATTTTAAATTATTTGTTACAAACACAACACATTTGTCCTTTAAATATTCTTTTAAACATTTATTAAATATTTCTTCAGCAACTTTACCATCCACAGCAGCTAATGGATTGTCCAACAAATATATATCTGCTTGTCTATAGACAGCTCTAGCTAAATTGATCCTTGCCTTTTGTCCGCCGCTTAGAGTTACTCCATTTTCTCCTACAATGGTTCTATCGCCACATGGTAAAAATTTAAAATCGTCCTGCAAAGAACATACTCTGCAAACCTCTTGGTATCTCGTTGAATTATATTGGCTTCCAAACAGTATGTTTTGTCGAATATTATTTGTAAACAACCAAGGTTCTTGCGAGGAGTATGATATGGTGCCTGATACAGTTACAGAGCCTGTGTTGAGATTTAACTCTTTCAGAATAATGTTTAGGATGGTGGATTTTCCACTTCCAACTGCTCCAATAATGGCAGTTAACTCATTGCTTTTGGCAAGGATGTTGATATTTTCAACGGTATATTTGTTCAGATTGTTCAGCCATCTTGCAGAAGCATCTTCCAGTTTTACAAACCCATGTTTGCTTGTTGATTTTTTATCATCGCTATACTCTTCATTAATTAAAAAACTGTTAATTCGATTTATTGAGATCCATGTTTCTGATACAAGGGCTATAGCTCTTGGAAATTGCGAGTTCATTGGTTCTTTTAGAATGTTGTAAAACGAAGTTATTACGAAAACAAAATACACATTGGTCGTGTTTTGTGTTATTACGTAAATTACCAGACATAAGTGTAATGCAGTTTTATTCATAAACATTGATAGGGACATGTGCAGGCCTCTTATAAACGATGTTAATCGAATATACTTTAACTCGAATCTAAAATGAAAAATATTTTTTTATGGAATTCGGTTACCTTAAAAGTGTTATCTTTTGAACAAAAAAAAATCGACATTGGACAGAAACCATTGTCAAGGATATTAAGTACCTTTTGACGTCAAATTCATAGGTGCCTATTTAGTGCCAAGAGGGCAGTATCAAATATATTTTAATTTTTTAATTTTGTTTTTTTTGTTTTGCAGTGGCGGCTGTTCGATTTTGCGTATACCGATATCTTGGTTATTAGAAATGGCTAAAGACTAAATTTATATGTGTTTATAATGACACTAAATTAACAAGTTCTGCGCAAGCAGAATTTAAATAGAAGTTTGCGAAAAAAAGATTGTTTTTGCTGCAGCTCCCCTGCAGCCTGGTCCCCATAATAAAGACAACTTATAATTTACCATAGTTTATAAACAAATTTCAAAAATTTATTTAAACAATCCAAATATTACAGAGTTTATACCATTTGAAATTTGTATTACTTTTCCTAAAATAATAAAAAAATAAATAAAATCTGCAATACTTGGATTTTTTAAATAAATTTTGATGTTCGTCAATGAACTATGGTAAATTATAAATTGTAAATTGTCGCAAACTTCTATTTAGATTCTGCTTGCGCAGAACTTGTTAATCTAGTGTCATTAAACTAATATAAATTTGGTGAGGGTCCCACGTCAAATGACTGAGATAATGTTTTGTAATAAAAACGTACCAGTGTAGTTTTAAAATTTATAAAATAATTGTACTCTATTACACTATTTATCAGTGGTGCCTGCAGTTTTACTTTTTATTTCGTTGGAAAAAACTAAAGCAATTTTTATTTATGCTGAAGTAAGACGTAATTTTCACCAAGCAGAGAGGGTATTCAATGAATGTCAAACAACCCTATTTGCAGAAAATATCTACCGGAGTAAGTGACTAAATTTTAAACAACTGGAAGTCTGAGTAGGCAGAAAGGGTAAAAAACCAATCTCAGATGACAAACTAATATAAAAAGTCGGTTTTAAAAAGCGGTAAAAACTCATAATTAAAAAAAAATTATACGAGGTTTCTTACCTTTCTACTATCGTGAAGGTACCAAAAATTCGGATTTTTAAATTAATTTTTAACCTGAGCCCCGACCACTTAAAAAAATAAAAGAACAAATCCCTAAAAAGTTAGAAAAAGTCATAATTTCTTTCAAACGAGGTTTTTTCTTACTTTTTTACTCTTACTTAATGTACCAAAGTTTTAGATTTTTAAATTAATTTTTAACCTGAGCACCGACCACTTTAAAAGAAAATAGAACAAATACTAAACATTTATTTATTTTTTTTTAAACGAGGTTTTTTTTTACATTTTTACTATACTGAAGGTACTAAAAAATCAGGTTTGTAAATTAATTTTTATCCTGAGCCCCGACCACTTAATAATATTTAGTGCAAGTAACGTTATGGTGGTAATGATTTAAAATACTAACTAATATCTGAGCATGAGACTAATTTGATATGTGTTTTTCTGAATTAAAAACTGTAACACCCGAAACGATTCGTGTGTTACAACTTTTTTCATATGTCGATATATGACACACATTGTGTGTCTATTGCTTGAAGAAGTATTATTTTTAAGGCTCTTTCGACGGCTCACTAGCGCCGCCATCTTTTTAAAGAGGTGTGACTGCTTTTCCGATGGTGTTGTCGAACCTAGCGAAACTTCGGTATTTCTACCAAAATACCGAATACTTAGATTTTCGTCAATAGTTATATTTCTACCGATTTTTGGCAATAATAACGATTTTACCCTTTTTGCCGATTTATCAATCGCACCCGAAGCTGCTTAAGTTATGTTTAAGGAGAATTCATTCTATTTATAACTCATTTTGTAGTACCTAGAGACTAATAAAACACCGATTTTATTCATAAAGTGTTTAATTTTTGTACATGTAACACCCGAAACAGAACCATTTAATAAAAAAATATTTGTGACAGTGTTTATGTGATCTATGGTTAGTAAATATAATACTTTTGGAGGCCTGTAATTTTTAGGAATGTTTCCCTAAGAAAATTCGCTGAATTTTAAATAAATGTAAGAATCGTGAAACAACCGAAACGCACACTTTTTGACTTATAAAATCGTTATCTTATATGCTAACCTTTACTAATTTTAAAATTTTGATAAAACAACTAAAAATGTAGAGAATAAGGCACTTTTATTGCTAAAATGTTATTTTAAAATACACAAACATACATACCTTCTAGCTGTACTTATAAGAACTGCAAATGCCTTTTCCCACGTATACATTTTAATCAATTGTATTCCTGATATGACTTCATTAACCAGAACAATTCTTCTGTCAGTTTTTTGGGCTATCTTAAATCTAAACTTGGAGGATAACTTTCCGAGATAAACTTAAACAAAATTACTTTATTTATTACAATAAAAAAAGTGGTAATGTAGTTTTGCTTACTTTGCACTGGAATGAACAAAACAATTATAATAATCCCTGTTGTGCCCAAAAATCCAAAATTTATATAAACACAAATAACAACAGTTGCCAACTCTAAAGGTGCAACCCATAAATAGTGAAAATAAGTAACAACTTTATCGAATCTATTGACATCATTTAATAGCAGGTTAACAACTTGTCCCACTGTGCTTTCAGATGTGCTCCTTAATTTTAGCGACTTCCTGTATATTAATGAGCTACATGCCACCCTAATATTCATACCAAGAATCGATGTGTTAAACATGTAATTTTGCATCAAAACTACATTAATAAAAGATGCCAGAACAACGTAAAAACCGCATAAATATATTTGTTGCTTGTTTGAATCTTTATCCGCCACATAAAACTCCATAATTTTAGCCAAACAAAACGGTTGTATTAATCTAAAACACATTATTAAAAAATCTATTAAATTTTTTGTTATTTATTTACTTGCTTGGTGTATTCAGCCACCAATAGGATGAGTCCATACATACATATTTTAAAGCCAAACATTTTAAAAATACTTCTTAATAGGTTTAACTTGCTATCTTTTTGATGCTTCCATTTTGATTCAAATTTATTACCAAGTGTGATTGAATTATATTTTTTAAGATTGTTTTGTAAATCTTCCAAGTTGAGGTCCCTTTTTAGTCCTTTTATAAACACTGGTAAAGTCCAACTATAAATATATCATGACATGCTTAATTAAATGATTGTATAGAAAAGTTTATAAACGATTTAAATTAAATATCTATACAAAATGAGTAACCAACCCAATAAACATTTTTGACGCAATTTTCACCATTATAATGTTATAACATTGCGTTATTATTTTTATTAAAATTAACAATTATTGATACTTTAAAACATTAAAATAACTTCAAAATATGATTATATTTTATCCTTTGATTTTTTTTATTACTATAATTGCAAAATATTATCACAAAGTATTAAAAATTATTACATGGAAAATTTAAAGGTTGTAAAAGTTGTATTTATGTGAATTTCCATGGGAATCTACCGGAGTTAAAATCTCAAATATATTCCTTGAAAATAGTCTAACAATCGATATAGAAGCAGTTTTTTTCAGTAAAAGAGAAGAGAATGTTTTATGGGTACCTACTGTACGAAATTGTTTATCGCTTTCACTGCAAATGAAAAAATATTGGAGGTATTCAAGTTTAATGGACCTGAACATGGTTCTATTCAAGATTTGGCCTTTTATATTCCCAGCTTATGACATTGTGTCCGAATACTTTGCTGCTCTTATACTTTGTGGATGTTTTACCTTCATAGTCATTGAATATTTTGTGATGAATAGAAATCCGGTATAGGTAATTCAAGGTGCTGAATACTTCTCAGTGGATTAAGTTTCTCAATACCTCTCTGAAGTATTCACAGTCAAAGTTGATGTATGTTCTGATTTCTATACCTGAGTCAAGTGTCCTATCTTACTTAAACGTTTTCACCTTCATAGTCTTTGAATATTTTGTGATGAATAGGAATTTGATAGAGGAAATTCAAGGTGCTGAATACTTCTCAATGGGTCAAGTTTCTCAATACTTCCCTGAAGTATTTGCAGTCAAAGTTGATGTATGTTCTGATTTCTACACCTGAGTCAAGCGTTCAAATCTTGTGCTGATGAATGTTATTCATTCTGCCTTAAGTGTAGGTATTTGGGCTATGTAAAAATGAATATTGTATGCTCTCTACTTGAGTCGAGGGTTCAAATTCAAAGATTAAGTGGAAGAGAACGTTTTAACATAGATGGTAATTAATAAACATAGAAAAAACGACACGAGACGGAAGTGACGTAATATAAGGTGAGGGCCCTGTTTTTGTATAATAATTATGTTGAAAATATTGTGATACTATAAAGATTTATTAATTTTTAACACTTAAACATAAGCGGTAAACTTTCTTTCGTTGACAACTTTATACTTTATACTTTGACAGATACATAACCTGAAATGCATTAAATGTCAAATGAGTCGAGGATTCAAATTCAAAGATTAAGTGAAATAAAACGTTTCAAGATTCAAGAGAAAAATTAATAAACCTAGAAAAAACGACACGAGACGGAAGTGACGTCATATACGGCGTGGGTCCTGTTTTTTATAATAATTAATTTTTTTGAAAATAAATAAATAATTGTCATGTGATCATAAGTAATGCAATTACCAGTAAAACATTAGGTATGATAATATTTTGCATTTTACAAAAAATTAACTTTTTGAAATAAAGGTATTTAAAAAAATGTTCGAACGAATTTTTCAATTTGTTTGAACTCTTGTAATATATTGCTGCCGAGTTGCCTATACAAAATTGGCCGAAATTACCTTTAACTAATATTTATTGTTATTAATTCTTGTCAATTAATTCCAACTATATAAGCTGGCTTTTTTTATGAGCGATCCTTATAGCTCAGTTAAAAAGGCGCTTGCTTATCATGGGAGAAGTACCGGGATAGATACCCGGCGCCTGCATTAACTTTTTTTTTTAAACGAATGCTTGCTAGCGTTCACGTGCTCAATACTATCAACAGGCATTTTATTTCAACGATTGTATTATATTTGACAACTGTCAACTAACTTTAGCCCGTGACCAAAAACCTGTTGCTAACTTCAGCCCGTGACTTAAACGCCATAAAGCCACAACTTGTCAATGTGTATTTAAAAGGTCACTTACCCTGGCGAAAATAAAGCGTGCAAGAAAAGTGTGCAATAAGTGTGTATTTAGAGTGCAAGTCTTTATAACAATGCGCATAGACGATATTTTGTGATAATGTCACACTTTTTGAAATAATTTAGTTTTTTCAATTTTTATGCGCATTGACATCACGCTTTTTATTTGTCACTTGTCACGCTTATATTAAATTATTTTTTTGCACATTGTTTGCACAGTTTGGGTACATTGTTTAAAGACAATTTTGCAAGGCTTCAGTCTATCTTACGCATGTCACATTTAGGACGCTTTATTATTTCTCATTTATCACGCTTATATTACACCTTTTTATAGCTCATTGTTTGTACAGTTTTAGCGATCACTCAACTGTTTAAGCACATTTTAGATATATCTCGCTTGTGTTGTGGTAAAACATTTATATACGATGAGGTAGATTACATCTTATGTATCGCTTCTCTGCAATCCCCGTCGTGGAATTGACAGTTCCGGTATTTTTCTTAATAAAATACAGGACACGAATGTAAAACCTACATTGTGGGTATTTTTTTTAAATTTTTTGAAAAGAGCTAGTGTTGGGAATAACCGATTTATTTCAATAACCGATTACCGAGTATTCAAGTGATTTCAAAAACCGAATGACGATCACTTAAATGCTCATCGTGGGGTGGGCCTAAATAACGAGGCGTTCGGCGTTGCTTATTTACATTCCGGACCGGAATGTAAAGAAGCAATTTTCGGTTTACCCGATTCCTTAAAGGCTTGTATGTTCAAGCAGTATTACCATTTTTCTAGAAATCTACTTTTTTGGTAGTTTTCAACATAATTTTAGTAGGCAAAATATTATTATTAAATTTTTAATACAAGTGTTTACATTTTTTGTTTTTCCACGTAGTAATTTAAATTTAATGGTAATTTTTGTTAACAAATTTCTATAAATTCAAATTTTAAACAAACTTCAACTGTCAAATGAGCGGATTACTAAAAATATAACCTGTATATTACAGATAACTTTATTTACCACGGCGTTTCAGACTTTTGCCTACCAGGTTATTTTAAAAATATACACTACGCAAATAACCGGTTATTCATCACTTGGATCCAAAACTCATAACCGAATAATTCAGGTTATTTCAATAACCGGATAATAGGTTATTTTTCACTTGAGTGATCCCAACACTAAAAATAACCTTTTCATTAGGTTAGTATTAATATTATTATTAGGATATTTATTTATTGATTAAATAAATTTAAAAGACTTTAGAGGTCACCAAAAACAACAGAAGGTGGCAAGAAACAGTGTGCAAACAATGTGAAATATCAAAAGGAGTTTCTTTTAGAACATTGTCCAATAATTATATACACTTGTAAATTTTTGGTTTTGCACATTGTTTCATGTTCCATTTCCCACCCTCTGCACATTGTTCTCAAATAATTTTGCACACTTTTTGCACATTTAATTTTCGCCAGGTTAGTGTCATAAAAACATGTACGATAATGGGCTTTTTAAAGGTGGGAGGAGAAAAACAAATTTAAAATTGCAAAATTAATGATGTCAAAGTAAAACTTACCAAAATAATAATCTTGAAAATAGTTTGCTCTTTATATTTTTATTTATTGTGTCTATCTCTTCCTGACCTGTAATAGTTTCTTCCATTTTTCATCTAGAAATGTATATATTAACTAATAATTGTTTTTAAAATACTTATTTATATTAAACTTAATGTCAATGCTATTCAATTTGGCCTAATTTCATATTTATACTTTACGTGATAAAGAGGTTAACAACCGCGTATCCCACATGTCAACAATATTTAAAAATGTTATTAAAACTAATAAATTATGACTTACTTATAATCTCTCATTGAAAAAAAATCACTAAACGCATACTAAGCACATGTGTTCGTAAACTGGAAAAATGGTTCATCAAATACCAAACCAGTTATCGCATTTTTTTAATTCTCGGAATCCAGAGATCAATCTTAAAATTTATTTCAATGCCGCGTTTCCAAGCCTAAGCCGGTGTATTGTTTATAACCAAGGTTCTTTCATTAAATAACAGTTCTTTAAATTGTATAATTATAGGTAGTTATCAATTTAATTGTCCCTATACATTTTATTGAATATTTTTTTATTACAGAATTTTATTAGGTTTTTTAAAATCCTTATGTTTAATGAAAATATATTAAATTAAATTAAATGTGCATTTACGAATGTTGTTGCCTGGGTAGTAAAAGTTTATACAATTTGTTTACGAAATTAATGTCAAAAGATAAATAAAATTTGTAAACAATAACACGATACACTAAAACCGGTATGCTGATGCGCATGTTATTGCACTGCAAATTGACGTTATATTCGAAAATTTATAAATATAAGGACGGCCTGGGTGCAATTATTAAGTGTAACAAATGTTAAGAGAAAGTTAAATTAGCAGCAAGCGCTTTTAATACTAATGTAACATATTTTAAGCAACAATTAATATCCTACCTTCCCATTATTATTTTTCAAAATATTTTTTATTTAGTTGAATAAATCTCAACTTAGTCTTCCTCTAGACCGAATTTAACTTTTTTTAATGTAAAAGATAGCAAAATTATAAAAATACATTTATAAAGATACCTAATAATAAAGCACGCCCGCTTTAAAGTGTCAAAAGTAAATAAAAATCTCAAAACTGCTTTATTTACTTGTGACACTTTTTAAGCGGGTTTCCGATTAAATTCTGTTTTAATTTTTATTATTAGTAAGTTGTAAAAAAATATTTGGTTAGGGTAAAAAGACTATAAGTACTTAACAGAAAATTGGGTTTACCAAAAAATGCCTTTACTTACCGTTTCTTCATTTTATTCCTTCTCTTGTTTGCATTCATCCACTGTGCTGCCAGATCTGTATTTTTTGGAAATCGAAAATATTTAATGTTAGGTTATAATTATAACCTAACATTAAATATTTTCGATTTTAACCTATAGGTTGGGTGTTCTGTTCATATTTCTGCTACAGCACAGCCCGGCGTATTATAAATAGTTATTAAGTCCAACAAACTTAATAAATAACCTGGTATAAATAATAACAAATAAGACACAATTGTGTTTAAAGTTTAAACCATTGAGTACTCAATGGTTTAAACTATAAATAAGCTGGTATAAAACACCCGTGCGTGGATTATAAATACCTTGTTGTTTAATAAATGCAGTAAAAAATTAACACAAAAACGTTGCAAAACCATCGTGCGTGGCTTATACTTTAAGAAACACAATAATTTTGGATAAAACTCAAAAGAAATCGTAGTAAAACACCCGTGCGTATGCCTATGCAAAACGGTTTGTAACATTTGAATCTGGTGCGATTGCCCTACTAAACCATTATAAATAAAAAAAAAACAAAACCTATAACTGAAAATTAAAAATATATTTATAAAAATGGATAAAAATATATATACATATAAAACTAATAAAATATCAGAGCAATCGAAATACCCCTCCCCTGAATAAAAACAAAAACACCCGCTCTACAAACACTGCAACACAAACTGCCACCCACCACATCTTCAATCATGTGATATAAAACCACCAATTAGAGCAAATCCAAGCTGCAATTATCTCGCCTCAAGCATCGAAAAATAGACGAGAACTTGATATTAATATTACCATTATTAGCATTTATGATTATTTAGGATTATTGTGTAGAACTGTAGAAAAAGTCACTAAAAAGCCGCCACGGTTTAAAACACCCGGTATATTAGGAATCTAAATTACTTGTGGTCACATAAAATGTTTATTTTTAGTCATGCTTTATGAACTTTTTTTATGTACGAGAGAACAATAGAATTTTAGATTTAAATTGACAGATATTTCCTACAATTAAAAGAATACATAATAATAACACAGTTTTTCAATTGATCATGCTATCAACAATTCGTATTTTTTTTTGCTTCATTATTTTCACCACAAGAGTTTTATGTTTAAGATTATGTGACACAGAATCGTATAGCATAAATTATTTTAAAATACAAAGTTGCTACAAGTCGAACATGCCCATTATAGGTTGGAAAAATGTTGCCAACTTAAGGGACTGCATGGATTTCGTGAAGGCTGTAAATTATACGAGGGGTTATTTTAAAAACTGTCAAGCGTTGGGATGTCCTGAAACTAGTAATTCATCATTAGAAATGGACTTTGGTTTTGATTATTATAGTGCTTATGACTTCTCAAGTAAGAACTTTAATTGTTTTAAGTTGTTATATAAAAAAGAAAACATGTTTTCGTTTATTTTCTTAACATATAATTTTTCCTAATTGTGTTTATTGTGGTTAGAATAATTATTACCAATGTTTGTCTTTGCTTTTTAAAGGTTTTCTTTCTTCAAAATTATATAAAACCGTATTTATAGAATATTTAGTATTTTTTATCTAATTATCTATAGATAAGTATACTTATGGGCCTTTCCATCTCAAATCAACCAGACAAAAAGAGGTAGGTCGTTATTGTTTAACGAAATTTTTTTACTGATGCTCTACCGAAATCGATGATCTCGAGACTCATATTTTTTCTTTTTGCTTTAGAACTTTTTGATGTACTTAACATATTTTCTCATTTCCGGTTTCACCGGAAATGGTCTAAACTTTTTATTTTTTTTAATGAAACACCCTATGCATTTTTGACAGGTCAAATAATTTTTTGATTAAATTTTATTTCTATATCTAGAGTACCTTGAATTGGTTTTTCTGCTTCATGTTGGGCCAAGTAATCTGGAAAAAAACAATTTTATTCTTTTTTGCAACGCTTTTAAAAATTGAAAAACCATTTGTGTTTAAAAGAAGTATTAGATTTAACAGTTCGTTAGTTTGTTTTGCTGGTAAGTGAATATTAACATTTTATTTTACTATGAAAACATACGCTAAAACTTTTTATAAAATAAAATAAAAATATTAATTGAGGTGGTTAGAATCAAAGGGGTGTAAGTAATTGTTAAACATTTTTTGGTTTTAAAAATACTAAATAAAATCATTAAAATATTTTGAATCAATTATAAAAAGTTATATCTAACCGTCCGATAGTGTGGCCATTGAAGGGAATCTCTGACAATAAATAAAAAAACGAAATATGAAATCAATTAAAAATTTGTTATTTCTTAACATAATTAACCTGCGCATTACTTTCTGGACATCTAAGGCTTAATACTTATTTCCCTATAGCCTCACTTTAAAAGAGTTTCGCGACTGCCTCACTCATATCTGTTATCCGACCAAATTTTTTTGGAATTGTTTGTGTGCTACATTTCTTTGAAATCGCGTTTTCATAAGTTTCTTGTGCATTTGATTCATTACTTTTAGGTATTAAATACTTACTTTTTATTATTTTAACCAGAATTAACTTAGGGGAAGGTGGGTGAATTCTGCGCACCTAAGAAATATCTCTAGTAGGTATCTTTGTTAAGTTTAAATGTGTAATTTTGCAATTAATACCAGCGATAGTCTACTATGTTTACTGTGTGTATATAATGCGCAATTTATAAAAAAAAATGTTTGATATGCAAATTGAAAAAACTACATTTTTTTAAATAATGCATTTGCGCTAAATTACCCACCTATCAGGGTAATTTTGCGCATCATAGGGGGAAAATTTGCGCTGTTTAGAGAAAGATTTGTAGGTATCTAAATAAACCGTTTATTTCTATAATATTATTACATAATTTATATATATTTATTTTTATGTTTTATCGTATGATAAAACATAAAAATAAAACAAAACTATTTTATCTATGAAACAAACAAAACAAACAAAAAAATAAATAACTAAAAATAAAATTTTTGTTCTTAGAAATTAGAGGATGGTCTACATGCAGCAGTTGTCACATATGTAGTTTTAGGTGTTGTTTTTTTCGCTACACTCTGCGTGTTCCCAAATGGAAAGCTCCCATATTGGCCAAATTTTGCAGCGCAAAATTACCCCAATTTTCAGCGTAAAATTATCCCCATTGGAAGAAAAATATTGTGATAATAAAACTTTCCAAAAGTTAACCTAAACAATTTAAATATACACCAGATTACGAGGAAAGATCGGGGTTTTTTTTTGGTCGTCGTCGTCGTCGTGTGTTTGCTATACTTTTACTTCTTATTCCTTGGTTGGCCTGTGGGAGCTCGTGGATATAGGAAACCCGTTGAAAATGACCTGACTAATCTGACTTTTTAATCCGGTGACGATTGTTGGACGAGTATGAGTAGAGGCGAAGTATTCCGACTAGCGTCTAGAGGCACCGAATTATCTTGGCTCCCTGGCTCCTAGACATGCGCGTTTTATAGAAATGTACTCAAACTCAACAACACAACCCAACCGACCCCGCCCCATTGGGCCCCCGCCCCATTGAGCAAAAAACCCAACTAACTAAAATGGGCAAATTTATGTTACGATAAAAATAAAACACTTTTTAATTACATAAATTTGCCCATTTTAATTGGGTTTTTTGCTCAATGGGGCGGGGGGGCCCAATGGGGCGGGGTCGGTTGGGTTGTGTTGTTGAGTTTGAGTACATTTCTATAAAACGCGCATGTCTAGGAGCCAGGGAGCCAAGATAATTCGGTGCCTCTAGACGCTAGTAGTATTCCGATATGTATATTAACACACTTAACTCACTCGCGTCGAATCACCCGAAAAACTTGAGACACGAACCGTTCACTGTATACTTACTACTCAACTTAAATTGATTCAAGGTCATTTTTTATAAAACCATCAGAGCAATAAAGCGATATTTCAAACCATTTAAATATATTACCAAACAAAGAATTAACAACAAAAGTGAAAAGATAAAAAAAGGAAAATTAAGTTGTTAAATTAAAAAATAGGTAATTAAAGTTAATCCAGGGATTTAATCAAAGAGAACGAGTTTACAAAAGAAACTGGAACTCTAGATTAAGAAATTTAACTAAAAGTAAACTAAAAGAAAATGTAACAAATAATTAAACTGATCGAATAAGCTGTGGGATTTACTCTATAGCGTAAATAACTATAATTAAACAAAACTATCGGAGTGCATCTAATCTAAACAATTTGGTTAGAAATACAATAATTACTATAGGTACCTTACACTTATACGGACTGGCGAAGATCTGCGAACGATTTGAAAAGCGCGATAGAATTTAGATAGGAACTGGCGATTCAAAGGTTGCGTTGGTTTTTTATAGACTATTTTCAGAAAAAATTGGAAGGGATTAATTCTTAAAGACCATTGGTCAAAATCATGGTAACTCCCCCCCGCAAGGGTCATAGAAAATTGACTGGTTCAAAAGGTCATAAACTCTCATACCAACCGAAAAGGACGAAAGGTTATTGGCTTTAAGCTACGCGGTTAGATTGTTCTTAAGGGAGAAGGCGTTAACCTTTGACTTAAGTCGGAAACTTAGCTATTTGAAAGGTGTGGAACAAACTTTGCGGGAATTTTACTAGGCATTGGGCGGAGTTTCAGCCATTGTCGCCAACATCAAGATATACTATAATTTACTAGATTTGATAATTGAGGATAGCTCTTAAGGATGGTTTGAAAGTAACTTGCCTAATGATTGAATCCACTATTTTTATATCTGGTTATTAAATCGTATTAACTGAATTTGATTTTATTGGGCATTCCTTTGGTTCAAGCCATGCTTATGAGTTTTATCAATCTACACTTAATTTACATTGGCTGCAGCCATGGTCGAGACTTTAATAAGTGGCAGCGCTTTCATATTTACAGTACAATATACCTAATCTTACTTCTTATTTCTAGTCTATAATCTCTTATTTCTAATCTATAATTTCTATTTTTCTAGGTTTAGTTTTAAACTAAATCAATTCGTTATTTTTTCCATTATACTAATTTTATTATATTTTTAACGCTGTTAATTTAATTCTTAAAATTCTTCGTTTACAGAAAGTGTTGTTGCCATATGTTTGGCGGCTTTGGAGAAATGAAGATATACTGCTTTATGGCTTTATGGCCTTTGAATTTTCTTTAAAACGACCCTATAAATTTGTTTTTTGACGTAACATTTGAAGTATCCTTTTCAAAATTACTTATTTCGCACATGTTGAATATTTATAAACGACGAATTTAGCCAACTCGGGACTTTTTGTGAAAGTTTTTTTGTCTTTTTTAGAAAAAACAATTAAAAAAAATTAAGTGAATTCACTTAATTTTTTATATATTTTTTGTATGTAGTAAACATTAACCTACAATTTAAAAAAAACTGTAAAGATTCAAACATTTTTGGCCAAGTTATCGAATTTTCAAGAAAAAATGTCACTCGTCAAAAAAAAATCGATGTTTCTGTCCATTTTTCAAAAATTTTCTACGGATGAACAAAATAAATTTAAACAAAAAGAAAAAATACAGGTCTCATACATTTCGGTAGAGAAACAGTAAAAAAAATTCGTTAAAAATAACGACCTACCTCTTTATGCCTGGTCAATTTGAGATGGAAAGAACCTTACCTATATTTTATTTAGATTTGGAAGAATCTTTATGTATAAAGTCAGAGGGAGTTTTTAAACTATCCTCAACTCTTTTAAACTACACTGATTCATTTCTGGAGTGCCAAAACTGGAATGGAGACCTCGCAAACATTTTATCAGAAATCAGAACAAACCAGCTGTCATATTTCATCAAAAATCAACTAACAAACTGGTATAAAGCAGCTTACGTGGGTTTGGACGATATGTATCAAGAAGGCCTGTTCGAGAATGCGTTTGGATCATTTCTGGGTTGTTCGAGGTATAGAGCTTGGGCTCCTGGCCATCCCAGATCAAAGCATAAAAACGAAGATTGTGTGATTTTGGATTCTGAACGTACCTGGAGGGTTATTGATTGTAAAATTAAACTTAGAGCGGTTTGCGAACTTTTTCCCCATAAACCAGTTGCAAAATTAAATGGGTTTCAGTACAAAAATGTGTCCTGTCATAAAATACGAAATAAAAGTAGGTACCTACTATAACTGTTTTTTTTATCACATTACTTTTTATGTTGTGTTTTTTAGAAAAGAGAAAAATGTGTAAAGAACAAAAGGAACTTTGGAGTTTGGTGAGCAATTCATCGAGATTGGATCAGTGTGCTTTAGTAACTTATTTATTAAACTAGCTATGTAACTATTTTCTTAAGCTATTCATTATTTTATAAAAATATCCATTCTTATTCTTTAATAATACTTTCGGTGAATCGAATTCAATTAGTTGTCCATTGTTTAAAACCAAAATTTTATCACAACTGATTATGGAACTCAATCTGTGTGCTATAACGAATAACGTTTGATTGTGAAAATTACTTTCAATGACGTCTTGCAGTAACTTTTCAGTTTCCAAATCCATATTAGCAGAGGCCTCATCCAAAAGAATAATTTTACTTTTGCGTATTATTGCTCTTGCTAAACATATTAGTTGTTTTTGACCCGTACTGAAGCTCGAGTTTTTGTGTATTTCTGAATCAAGAGAAACTACGCTGTCTTTTAATTTCACCAACTCTAAGACCCTCCACACATCTTTGTCTGAGAAAGAATTTGTGGGGTCTATGTTGAATCGCATTGTCCCATTGAATAAAACCGGGTCTTGAGGTATGATGGCTAAACTCTTTCTCAGAAAATCCAAGCTTAAACATTTAATGTCGACTTCATCAATAAAGATGTTTCCTTGTATTTCATACAATCGAAACAGAGTAGATATTATCGATGATTTGCCGGCCCCTGTTCTTCCTATTATACCGATTTTTTGCCGGGCTTTAACGGTGAAAGTCAAATCTCTAAGAATATTTTCATTTTTACTGTAACGTAGAGACACAGCGTTGAACTTTACCGAACCCTTTTTAGGCCAGTTTTCTAGAGTTTTTCCTTTTTTGCTTTCTTGTTTAATTTCGGTATATTCCAACACTCTCTCAAGATTTGTCATTAGGGTTTCTAGATTTGCCCAGTTCTTGGTGGACCACTGAACTGTCTCCGATAACACCATCACTTGAGTTAAAGCGAGACCCACACTACCAGCAGAAATATCTACAAAAAAGAAAAGTAAATAATAATTAATTTTTAAAACACTTTATCTACCCGTATCAAAAAACAAGAACCTAACAACAATGAAGGTGATTAATAGTATACAAGTGGCATCAACTAAAAAACAAAATGCTTTAGATGTGACTAAGTTCAAAAAATGCGATGAGGTGTATAAATCATGATGCCTATCAAACTCTTTGATCAACGCTTCTTGCTTTTTGTATGCCCTTATTGTTATTAAACCTTCCAGAGTGCAATTTAAATGGCCAATCAAGGGGCTTCTTGCTAAAACAATGTGTTTTTAGTTACTTAATTTATTAGATTTTGTTTTGTTTACTTGTGGATTCCATTCTTTTCAAGCTTCTTCCTACTGGTAAATAAAAATAACGCAATATGACTGCAACGATTATAAATCCAACAGCAACAGGCAAGAATTTCCAGTTTATGTTACTTAGTACTATTGTTACAGCACATATTTCAAATACACCCTTAAATGTTAAATTGGCATATAAATTACGAAAAACGCCTCAACTAAAAACAATAACAAGCAAACAAAAACACCTTATCCTTGCTTTACATACAGGGTGTCCCAGAACTCGTGCCACAGAGAAAAAGGGAACGTGCCAAAAGTTATGCGAAACACATCAAGTTAATTTTTTTATCTGGACTGCGGCAACATTGAAAATTTAGGGGTTTGGTTGGTAAATACGGAACCAAAATTGGTTGCATTGATTAAAACAAACTATAAATTATTGTAGGTTACATTGAATGGTTGTCAAGTTCAGTCAAGTTGAGTTGTCAAAATTCATACTTAAAATGCAATTAATTTGGCTTTGGTGGTGTGTAGATGAATAAAATCATATAAAAAGTATTTAAATATAGGTGACTACGTCCAAGAAGAGACAAAGTATTCCTAGCGGATAATAATCTTCGCTTTGAAAAGAATTTATATGTATGAAAGAAATTAAAATTTTATGTGAACACACGTGAATGTTGTCCAATCATTGGACTCCAATGGTGAATGGGTATTTTGTTAAAGCCACTGGACGTTTATACTTGTAGTGGCTTAATAATAATTATAATGTATATATTGTCCAGGACTATTAATGATCATTAACTTGCAAATTGAAAGAAGGAAAAGTTTCGTGATTATTCCTTTTCTTTTTCAAACCAAATTGATGCTATTTTCAAAGACAGGAAAATTAACTACTAGATTTTTCACAAAAAGATTGAACCTAACAGCAAATAATTTTTATTTATTTTTTCGACTTGTCTAATCGTCCGATCATCGGATGAATAAAATATATTAATCGTCCGAACATACGGACGACTAATATATATTATTCGTCCGGTAATAACATAACGTTAGTTACGTCATAATTATAATTCGCTTTTGTTCACCGACCGTTTAATATTTGACAACAAGCTAGATAGCTTATATGGTAGGGCGTTCGCTTGTCATGCGAGAGGTCCCGGGTTCGATAAGAAGCTGTCGAATTTTTTTTATTTTTTTATTTCATAAATTTGTTGTTTCTTTGTTAAACAGTGTTCGGTTGGGTTGGGTTGGTTGGTTTGTTTTAGTTTTATCGTAACATAAAATCTACTAGAAGTTGTCGAACTTTTTTTATTTCATAAATTTGTTGTTGCTTTGTTAAAAAGTGTTTTATTTTTATCGTAACATAAATTTGCCCATTTTAGTTGGGTTTTTTGTTCAATGGGGCGGGGGGGGGCAATGGGGCGGGGTCGGTTGGGTTGTGTTGTTGAGTTTGAGTCCGATAATCTTTTTATTATTTATTTATGTTATTACCGGACGATTAATATATTTTAATCGTCCGATCATCGGATGAATAAAATATATTAATCGTCCGGTAATAACATAAATAAATAATAAAAAGATTATCGGACTCAAACTCAACAACACAACCCAACCGAAAAAAATGGAACTCGTATAGATTTATTATTTATTTATGTTATTACCGGACGATTAATATATTTTATTCATCCGATGATCGGACGATTAATATATATTATTCATCCGATGATCGGACGATTAATATATTTTATTCGTCCGATTATACGGACGACTAGCAACGGCCTTTCGACTTGTCTAATCGTCCGATCATCTGTTGAATAAAATATATTAATCGTCCGAATATACGGACGATTAATATATTTTATTCATCCGATGATCGGACGACTAGCAACGGCCTTTCGACTTGTCTAATCGTCCGATCATCGGATGAATAAAATATATTAATCGTCCGAATATACGGACGACTAGCAACGGCCTTATTTTTTTATTTGCCCATTATTTTTTAAAATTTCAAAATTTTTGATCTGCTTAGCTGAAAATAATGTGTGATTAAATATTTGTAAAACCAAAAACGTTATTTTTTACTCGAAAAATGTCCATAGGGCGATGTACTTTTTCTGCTATTGAGGCATTTGACATAACTTCATCGAAATGAAGTTTTGCCCTTAAAAATTATTTTACTTTAGAATCTAATATTATTTTTGGCATAGTTATCTTTTTATATCGATATTATAATAATAATAATAATAATAATTAACAACAAATTATCAATAATAAATATTACTGCCAATTTGACAGTGTCAGAGTATTTAATAATTATTAAGGTCTTCAGCAGAAATACCATTTTTTAAATACTAAAAATACTAAATTAAACTGGCATAAGCTACCAACTTAATAAAATAACACGAGTCCAAATAAAAAAAAATTGGCTGCCGCTTTTTTTTCTCATTTGAATAAAGTATTACCTAAACTTTTTTTATCCTGAAACACCCTGTATAGGTGAATAATTCGACCTTCATCACATCAAGTTTATGAGGAATTCTTACTCAAAAGTGAAAAAAAAAATACTTTTTTTCAATACTTGATTTAATTGTAATTTAAATTTTTTTAAGGTTAAGTTCTAGACTAGCTTATTGTTGTTATAGAAAGTTTGTTGTATTTTGTAGAACCTTATTATTGTTTACCTTAGGAAAGTATAACAGTATAAAAGGCAGCGATTCGTCAACAACACTTAAATCTTGAGAAAACCTATTTAAAATGTTCCCAATAAATGTGACATCGAAAAAGGACATTGCAGCTTTGATTACTGAAGTGGCCATAAGATTGTGTATTTTTATGGCGGATTTCTTTAAAAATGCAAGATGGGTGTAAGCTAAAACAAGTTCCAAAACAATTGAAGCCACAATCATACCCAGGTATATGTAAATAGTTTGACTTGTTTCCTGTTTGGTTTCTTCGTATATAGTTGAGTTGGTGTCGTTGGAATGATCGGCTGCTTTTTGGTTTAGATCAACCCTAAAACATGAAATTAGTTTAAAAATGTTAAAATAGTTTTATCCAAAGAACTAAAGTTCAGTTGATAGTAAAATCCTTGCCAATTTGATAGGAGAGTGTCGGAATAACTGGATACAATCTGATTTAAAACACAAATCATAAGAATGCAATTCAATAGCAAAAATCCGCCACCCAGTTTGAAATATTTTATATAATAATTAAAATCAACTGGGTTTTCATTGTGTGTTTCGTTGTAAACTTCAATATCTTTCTTTTCCAAATTTTCCAGCATGTTTGTTATGGAAGCTTCATCTTTTATTGTTGTTATTTCACCGTTAGTTTTATTGTTTATATATTCAGAATAAATGTCGTCTTGCAACAATGTTTTTTCTTTTATGGTCCAAATTTTCTTGGCTCGCTGTGCTTGTTTATCATTTTGCGTGACCAATATACACAGCTTATCCTTTAAAAAGCCTTCAATACACGCGTGAAATATGTAATCCTGTATATTTCCATCCAATGCGGCAAGGGGATCGTCCAGAAGGTAAATATCGCTTTCTTTGTAAATCGCTCTAGCCAAACTTATTCTAGCTTGTTGGCCTTTACTTAAATTCATACCTTTGTCAGCCACAATGGTATTTTCTCCATTATCCATGATTTTAAAATCGTACTCTAAAGCGCATACTTTTATGACTTCACTGTATCTAAGTTTATTGTATGTTTCTCCAAAAGTTATGTTTTGTTTTATGGTGGAAGGAAATAACCATGGTTCTTGTGAGGCATACGATACTGATCCTTTTATATTTATGTTTCCAGAGTTAACAGAAAACTCTTTAAGCAATGTTTTAATGAAAACACTTTTTCCCGAACCTACAGGCCCATTCACAACATATAAACCAGTTTCAGCTCTTACAGATATATCTTTAAGTAAAGTAACACCCTTCATATCGACGGTTACATCGTTGATGGCAATCCCGCATAAATCAATTACTTTTTCATCCTCATCATTCACTTCTTCAGCGTTAAGGACCGTATTTATTCTGCATAGGGCCGCGAACATTTGGGCGCCATAGGTCCAACCATAAGGTATAGACAAAGCCAATAATCCTCTTATATTTGTAAAGCATGCCAACACGTAGTACACAAACTCTGCGGTTGCAGTTGAATGATAATATATGTATAGCAATATGGATGCAAAAAACGATACTCTTGATGTAAGAAGTCCTATTAAAAGAACGATTACTTGTATAAAAAAGATTTGAATTAGTAAACCAAGTTCTTTTAATCTTGCTTTAACGATTTTTTTGACAAAGCATTCTTCCCAGGTGTACATTTTAATTATTTTTATGGCGGAGAGACTTTCCTGCATTACTTGCAATCTTTCATCGGTTTTTTTGTTCATTTCCAGCCTCCAGTTGGCCACTAACTTTGCCAAAAAAGCTAAAACAAATTTGTAAAATCATGAAGATTTCCTTGGTCCACAATTGTATGAAGAATAGTTGTTTTTGTATGTAATTATGTAATATTATTTGAACCCTCGAGGTTGCCATTTAATGGTTTCATATTATTTAGGTATCAAAATTAAAACGCGATAAAAGGATGTTATGGTCAGTTCCTTTAGCAGGATATGTATGATCAATTTTGTAGGAGAGAATATTTTATCTTTTTCAATTGAGTCAATATGTACGTTATAAATAGGTGAACAATACTTGAGCTTTGTTCTAACAAGATAATAATATATTGATTTTAGTGCTGTGATGTTAAAAAAATTGGTAGAATTCTGAATTATAAAACCTAGGAGCTCCCCATTATCAAAGAGTACTCCAAGGTCACGAATTTCATGACAGGTACAGGTTTTGCATTTAAAAATGTTTAATTCGAGTTTGTTAAACATATTAAAATAATGCTTAACTGATTCTGAAAGAGTTTGCAATGTGTATAGCTGAAAATAGTGGTAAATACTTTCAGGTCATCAGCAAACAATAGATGATAATTGTTATGACAAATCATTAATAAATAAAATGAACAAAAGCAGACCCAAGTTAGCCTTATGGTACTCCGCTACTTGCATAGAAACATCAAGAAAAATCAAAAAATTAAAAACTTACCCTGCAAGGGCAGAACAAAAATCATGATTCCAATTCCAAGTAAAGAAGTTGGCCCCATTTTATAATACAATAAACAGGACGTGTATGTTATTTCCAAATTTCCCAAAATCATGTCGTTTATCAAAAAAATATTGTCTTCGAAGGAGGCCACGTCTTTTGTTACTATAGTAACAATATTGCCAAGGGTAATTTCATTTAAAGCAGCGCACGATAGCCTCATAATTTTTCTATAGAGCAAAGATGTGTAGGATGTTCTTACTTTTTGCGCGAATTTGAAAACTACCAATGTGTAATTGTGATAAAAAAATACCCGAAATACTTGGATTAAAAGGAGAAATCCTCCATAATAATATGCATCATTTTTTGTTAGTTTCGAGTTTTTGCTGAAATATCCAATCAATTTGCTGACTGTTTCTGGTTGGTAATAGCTGAAATACGAGTTATTTATTATTAGGTCTACTCTAAAAAGTATTTTACTTGTAGAAGACATGAAATGATAAATCTATAACTCCCAAAAATAAATAGTATTTTCCAAATTGCCTCCATAGAATGCTAAAAGCACTAATAGCTTTTTTAGCTTTCTTTGCTTTAGTAATACGATTATCCAGTGGGTTCCCACATTGTTTTGATTTTAAGGATTTGGGTGCGTCATAGAGATTTTTTTCAGTAAATGTTTTCCTGTACGCCCTTACAAACACATTTCTAGTATAGCTAAAAACCTATACAATAAAATAAATTTAATATAATAAACTATTTGACTTACAAAAATGTTAAAGTCGAGAATATGTTAGCTCTATCCCTTAAATCTTCTTTCCTTTTTACATTTTGGCAATGATCCATCTTCCATAGAACGAATTATTTGATACTAAATATGAACAAAAAATGTTGTATCAAAGTGTGAAAAGGTTAAAGACTATCGATCAATGTTATCAAACAAAACATTTTTTATGTATCCAGATTAGTAGTAACAATGTTTCATTTAAATTTGTTTTGAGCACTCCAATAGCACTCTAACAGAGTTTATTTCCCTAATCCATTATCACAAGCACTAAACTAGATTATTCGAATTAGACAGACTAAACAAATTAGATGCAATGCGAACAACAAAGTGGACATCTAGATACTAAAGATCTTAACCGGACGTAAAATTTAACTTTTAATACGCCACACATTAAACTTTCCAAGGGCACTGTTAAATTTTAACAAAATGGTAAAATTGCACACCAATTTACTTAATTTTTTGCTAAATTGGAAAACATGTCTTTTTATTCAATCCTTTAAAATAAATAATTATAACATTCTGCAATAAAAATATAAAAGGGATATATCACTTTTTTATTGGAAATAATTATCTAATTAAATTAAATCTGATTTTTTTTGTTGATAATGTACGATTTTTTTACCAATATCTAAATTTTCCAAAGTTAAAGTTGTATACATTATTTTATTCAATCAAGATTAAACAGTTTTACATTTAAAACTTGTGTATTTTTTTACTCTTTTCTTGTTCTTGTTTGTTATTTTTTGCTACCCTTGTGTTGAGACTAAAAAGAGTCCGGCTCCAAGGCGCAATTGGACACTTTTTTCCTAGGGTTCAAAAAAACGAAATAAACTTTAGAAACAACTAATATAAATTTTATTTAGTTCTACGCTCAGCGTTTTCCGGAAAAAAATTGATCGCGTGCATGATTCTTTTCAACGCACAGTAAAGCAGTTTACTACAAACGAAAATGTTTAACCGAAAAAAAGAGTTCGTCAAGCAACAGTCACCGGTGAAAATAATAAAATTAATGTATTAGCAGCCGTTGCTGCTAATACTAATACAAGCACCCGAGAATTATCTCGCGATTCCGAAATATCCCAGAGCAGTGTTATCAAAATATTAAAAAGGAATAAATATCATCCTTACCATATTTTGTTACATCAGGATCTTCATTGTTTCGATTTTCAAATTTGGGTAATTTCTTGTCAGTGGGCATGTGAACAAATACAACAAAGTCCAATTTTTTTCCATTTCGTATTGTCCTCCGACGAGTCGTCTTTTACGAACCACGGAACGGTAAATCTGCACAACATGCATTTCTGGAGTGTTGAAAATCCGCGGTGGCTCCGTCAAGTTGAACAACAGCGTGATTGGACAGTCAACGTGTGGTGCGGAATGGTTGGCGAAATGTACCGAGATATTTTGGAAAATAAACTGCCCACATTACTTGAAGACTTAAGCTTGGAAGTATGACAGAACATGTGGTTTCAACATGATGGTTGCCCAGCACACTATTCGGTGTTAGCACGTGAAGTACTTAATCTCAATTTTAATGGTAGCTGGATTGGTAGAGCTGGTCCGGTTAGTTGGCCTGCTAGATCACCTGATCTTACTTCGCCGGATTTCTTTTTGTGGGGCTATCTCAAAGACCGTGAGCGAATTAGAAATGCTTGTGCCGAAATTACTGCAGATACGCTACTTACTTGTGGAGACTCATTTAAAATCCAAATTGATAAGTGCATTGAAGTCGAAGGCCACCATTTTGAGCACATACTTTAATAAAAATTCGAAATATAAAGTGTTTTGATCTAAATTTGTATTATTGATAGTAACAAGCCACAAGTATGTTATAGAAAAACAATGGTATACAGAGAAGAAATCGAACAAAATTATTTTTTTATTACAGTTATTACAAATATGAAAAAAAATTTTAGGCAAAATCGTCAAATGATCCGAATCTGTAATAAAAAATAGGGTGTTCCATTGGACATTTTATTTACCCCATAAGGATGAGTATGGGGAATAATTTTGGTACTAATTTATTTTCCCCTTCGAATCATTTAATAGCGAAGCTTGCGAGCGAGTGTTTAATAAAAACGAGTGTTTAGAGAAGTAGGTATATAAAACGAGTTGCATACTATGCACTCGTATGCAAATAAAAAGCGTACAGCCTTAGAATAAGAGGTACTGCATTAACTGACGGCTGGTTTACATCTAAGGCACTGTATTTTTATAACCTAACTCGCCATATTTGACAAGTGCAGTACCTCTCATTCTAAGGCTGTACGCTTTTTATTTGCATACGACTGTACTTCATTTACGACGAACAGAAATAGGAATTTAAAGCCAATTTTAATACTTAAACATTTGATATCTGTCAACTGTCAACGGAATTAACCTCACTTTTTCGCAAATTATAATAAAGACAACTTCAGCCCGTGACTATAACGCCATAAAGTCGCAACTCATCAATGAGGGAGTAAATAAAAATACTTAACAAATTCATTTAATTTATTAAACTAAATACATTTTCACAGAAAATACCTAAATCTTCGATTTCTCAACCATTTTTGAAAAATACCCTTCTTTATTTTCTAGCAATTTGTTCGGAGAATCGCATTCCATAATTTCGCCTTTGCTAAGCACCAAAATTTTGTCTGCATCTATAATTGAGTGCAGCCTGTGTGCAATAATAAATACTGTGCAGTTGGAGAAATTTTCGGTTATGGTATCATGTAACAGTGCATCAGTCTTTGGGTCCATATTAGCAGTCGCTTCATCGAGAACTACGATTTTATTTTTTCTTATGATGGCCCTAGCCAGGCAAATTAATTGCCGTTGCCCTGAACTGAAGTTGGAGCCTTTTTCTGAAATAACGAGTTCAAGACTTGGCACTAATGGTTTAAGTTTAACTTTATCTATGACTTCCCAGATTTGTTCGTCAGTGTAGAGGTAAGTTGGGTCTATGTTGCTTCTCATAGTACCAGAAAATAAGACAGGATCTTGAGGGATTATAGCGATACTTTGTCTTAAAAAATCAAGGTTTAAAGTTTTAGTATCGACATTATCTATTAGTATTTGGCCCTCTATATCATAAAGTCTAAATAGTGTGGATATAATAGAGGATTTTCCTGCTCCGGTCCTCCCAACAATTCCTATTTTTTGCTTTGCTTCAACTACAAAGCTGATATCATGCAGTACTCTCTCACCATTTCCATATTTTAAAGATACGTTTTTGAACCTAACTTGACCGTCTTGAGGCCAATTTTCTATTTTAACGCCTTCTTTGACTTCTTTTCTGTTTTCAGTATACTCCAGAACTCTTTCAACTGAAGTCATTTGGTTTTCCAAGTCAGCGTACTGTCTTATACCCCACTGTACTTGGTCGGATAGTAACATCACTTGCGTTATAACCAAACCAACATCTCCAGCCGAAGTATCTGTCTCAAAGAATAGGAATCGTACAACAATAAAACTTAACAGTATAGTACAACATAAGTCTACGATATACGTGAAAGCTCTTGAAGTGCACATCATCATAAAATGAGCAGAAGTAAACAAATCTTGATGCCTATCAAATTCATCTTTCAGGATGGTTTGAGCTCTGTAAGCTCTGATGGTTGTAAGTCCTTCCAATGAAGAGTTCAAGTGGCCGATTAAAGGACTTCTTGCTATAAAAGTATAGTTTTATTACGTGGTCAGTATTAAACAAATATTGGAAATATTCCCCAACACCAAAACAAAACACAAAGTGCTTAAAGTACTTTTTGCCAACGATGTTGGCATCTTCAGAAGCGAAGTGTACCCAGTAAAAAATATTTTATTGTTCTCTCAGGTGAAAGTTGTTGAGTGAAAAAGTTAGTCACAATATCACAATATTTTCAATCCTAATATATAGATATATATATACAGTATGTCCACGGATAGAGGGCCCAAGAGGACAAATGGACTAAAATTTTCATTTTTCGATCAAAAGTCATTCTTTATAAAAAGTTCTGCTTGTGTTGAAAAGTCTATTGTCATACTTAAGTTCTAAAATTAAATTTTTATACTTGTGTACCTTAATTTCACGTATTCTTTACCTATGCATGACAAAAAACTGACACAGTAATTTTAAAATTTCTTATTCAAAATATGTCAAGATACAATGTCCGTATTTTAAAGTTAGGCAAATATTTTATTAAAAAAAGTTGTTCATAATGTCAGGAAAAAAAAAGAAACTTTGTAACAAATTGGGCATATAAAATTATCCTATTTATTCAAAAACCCCTCCACCGTATTCGACGCATTTCTCAAACTGCCGTCTAATGTGATCATAACTTCTTCTTATCTCTTTAAGTGAAATCATTTGAACTGACTCTGAAATCCTTTGTTTTAGAATATCGATATTATTTTCAATCGATTGGTGATACGTTAATTGCTTCAAACGACCCCAAACAAACGCATCAGCAATTGTGAGGTCCGGACTCCTCGCAGGCCACACAATTGGACCATTTCGGCCAATCCATCGATCTCTGAATTTATTGTTTAGTCATTCCGTGACTTCGCGAGCATAATGTGCAGGGCAGCCGTCTTGTTGAAAGTACATTTGCCCACGGTATTGTAATGACAGCTCATCCAGCTTGTCCGGAATAAAAGTTTTCAACATTTCCATGTACGAATTCCTATTGCATGTATCCTCAAAAAAATATGGTCCCATTATCCCATAATATGTAATTCCACACCAAACGTTAACTTTTTTAAGATATTGCCGACGTGCAGGAATTCTGAATTCTGGATTTTCAGTGCTCCAGTATCGTACGTGTTGGGAAGCTACCGTACCATTTGTGGAAAAAGTGGATTCGACGGAGAATAAAATAAGTTTGTAAAACTGATTATTTTCATTTAAAATTTTGTCCCCTATCCACAAACAAAAATCTAATCGTTTTGCTTGGTCTTCATCTTCTAGAGCTTGATTAAAATGTGGTTTATATGGAAAAATTTTTTGGCTTTTAATATTTTTTGAATTTGACTTTTTTGGACCACCTGCAAATTTTGACCTCGTTTTCGTAACAACAGAATAGGGTTTTCCACAACAGACTGCAAGACGACAACTGTAGCCGCATCATCCTCGTCAAAAAGTTTCTTCTTCTTTTTTAAATTATCCACCGACCCAGTGTTCTTGAATTTTTTAACCAGTTGACGAATTCCATGTATTGAAACTGAAACCCCTGGAAATTTTTCAACAAATCGTTCTTGTACATATCTGTATGAACGGTCGCCAGTTCCATAACACTGCACCAAAAATATTTTTTGTTCAATAGTTAGCATTTTGAGAATATTTTATAAAACGAAATTTATAATCTAAGACTGTCACTGTGGCATTTTTTGTCATATGTACATAGGTAGGCTTTCCAACTTCTGTCAAAAAAATCCCGAGGGGTAAACCACTCTAAAATCAGCGAGACCAACGTTCAACATTATGTGGACGTTACGCTATGATTTCTCCTTATTCGACCATTATCAATCATTATCAATACGGAAAAATCCTTATGAATAAGAAATTTCTCTTAGCGACGCGTTGCTATGACTACCCTTATGATTTTTCCTTAGACGTTAATTCGTATGCGATTTATAATTTTTTTAAATCAGTGGTTTACCCCTCGAAAAATCCAGGACATAAATTACAAAAATGACACAATCAACAATTATCAAGTAACGTCAATTTACATTTTTGTAATTAATGTAAATTTTCACAAAATAACCAGGTAAAGGAAACGTAAAATGGGGTACAAAAGTATAAATTAGAAATTAAATTTTAAGAAAAATAAAATAAGGAATACTGAGTTGAAATTTTACAATTGGTCTTTGAATATGATTTGAAATATTTTTTTTATTTGTCATTTTGCTCCAAAATGAAAAATAAAGGTAGTTTACTCTTGATAGTATTTCAGGTTTTCTTGTTTTTTTGACCCCTTGTACAATATTTTCAAATTTAAAATATGGCAATAGACTTTTCAAAACAAGCAGAACTTTTTATAAGGAATGACTTTTAATCGAAAAATGAAAATTTTAGTCCATTTGTCCTCTTGGGCCCTCTATCCGTGGACATACTGTATATATCCGACGGTGGTCTAGTGGTCTAGTGCATGCTGACTACAAGCCGGAGGTCGTGGGTTCGAATCCCACCAGGGGTATGGCTGTTTATTTTTGTTTGTCTTATTGTGTATTAGTCCTTCGGAGGGGACTTTAAGCCCGCGGTCCGTTCCTACCCCTAACCCGCACAAGCCATTCAGTTGGCTTATGGGACTTCTTAAGAAGTAAGGGTGGAACTAAAAGAGCACTTCTGTATATAAACTTTTTTTTTTTGTATATATATATCCTTAAAAGTGCGATGTAGTGATAGTAGTATTTCACATCACTTAAATATTCATTAAACATTAGCCAAGCTCTGGCAGTGCACATTAGTGTAAATATGCAATCAGGGGGTGTTCAGTTGACAAAAAAGCAAACTTGTTTTGTTCATTGTTCTCTCAGAATTTGTGTTGAAAGAATGCACCAAGCTGTTTAGTTGTGGTTTATAATTATTAACTAAAGGTAAGTCAATTTCAAAGTATTATTGGGTTCATAAGGTCGAAAATCGCGTGCAAATCGCGTTTTGTACAATAGTACAGACAAATTTCAAGTACACTTCTTACAATAGCTCATTTTAATGTTTATAATAAGTAAATCGTTTTTTTTGTAATTTTTTAATGTTTTTAATGAGAGTAAAACATGCCCACGATGCCAAGTTTAATAAAAACTTTAAAAATTTAGCCAAACCTTAGCAGTGCGATACCAGCAGATGGCATTTTATGATTACAACTTTAGCACTGAATTGCAAAGAGGACCTTTAAAGATTTATTTTAAGATTATCACTGAAAAAATTTGGTATATACCTAATTATATAGAAGAATTTCCCGATTCGATAGAAATTTTAGTCACAAAATGAGTAAGAATTGGTTACATGTATAAAATTACGAGATTTTAAGCTTGCTTTACAAAGAGCCATACAATTTACACCAATCTAACAGTGTCAATTGGTACTTTGTGGCAAAATATTATTTGGTGTTTTGAACGTATTTATATTTTAAGTAATTGCCAAAGATTAGTTTTATATTTGGTAGCGTAAAACTTACAATGGACTGTATTTACGTATTTATATAAAGTAATTGCCAAATATGGTAGTTTAATTTTTTGTATTTATATAAATATAAATTTTATTTGTTTTATATAAACATTATTTAAACACCCCAGCAGCGCTACCCAAAAGTAATTCATATAATTAAACATAAATAAATAAATATAAGATTAATAAGAGCAGAATCATTGCAAACCTCCATTATATATATTTTTTTAAGCCTACAATAATTTTTATATTATAACACTTCAAAGTCTATATAAAATGACTTTGTAGATCGCCAACTTTTCAATAAAAGGGACTGAAGTGTGTTAGTGCTTGAACTAAAAGCAATTTTGAAGGTCAATTTTCGAAAAATGGTGTTGGAGAATATTTTTAATATTTATTTGTGGCAATAAAAAAAACTTACTCATTGCTTCGAGTCTTTTAAGACTTCTTCCTGCTGGCATGTATAAATATCTTAAAACAAAAGCCATAACTATAAATATTACGGCTGGCATAAAGAATATCCAGTTTACTGATGTTATGATAAATATGATGCCAAATGTTTCAAAAATAATCTAAAATGTATGCATTATTATAAATTTAAATTTAAACTAATTTATTTACTATCATAATGTCCAAAAGAATATTGGAGACTTGCTCATCCACGTTACTTAAATCCTGCGAGAATCTATTCAAAATATTCCCGATAAAATGATTGTCAAAAAATATCATTACGGAGTTAATAATCGATGATGTCATAGCTTTATGGATATTTAACGAAGCCAATCTTGCCACATTCAACATAAAGTATACCCTTATCAAATCCATAAATATTGATAAAAATATGGTCCCCGAGTATATGTTTATTGTAAAATTAGCTTGTGCAATACTTTTTTCATATTCCGACGTGTTTTGTGAACCTTCTAGATCTACAGCTTTTTGATTTTCGTCAACCCTTTAAAAACAAATATAATTTATGTGAATGCAATGATGTTATTACATACCATCTAGTTATTAGATTGCTAGCATAACTCTCAGTTGTTTGAGCTATTATGCATAAAATTATAATTCCAAATAGAACCAAATATCCTCCGCCGAATCTAAAGTATTTAGTGTAGGTCCTTAATTCAACGCCACCTGATCTTTTAGTTTCTTGGTAAACATGCTGTTTTTCATTTTCATTATCATTTGTTTCTTTGGTTTCATCGACGTCTTTTTCATCTTCGATTATTTCTTCCTTCGACTTACTTTTTTTATCGGTTTTAGGTTCCATAATATACGCAATTTTTTCCTGCGGTTCTCCAAAATAACTAACAACACCATTATCCATGATTAATACATTATCGGCTAATTTAAGATGGTTTACATTTTGTGTTACCAAAATCACGAGTTTACCTTGTAAAAAACCTCCGATGCACTCGTTGAAAATATAGTCTTGAATGTTGGCGTCCAAAGCTGTTAGAGAATCATCCAACAGGTAAATATTGCTATCCTTGTAGACTGCCCTGGCCAAGTTAACTCTGGCTTGTTGTCCTTTACTCAAATTTAAACCTTTGTCGGCCACAATCGTCTCGTCGCCATGATCGAGAAGGCTGAAATCATATTCCAAAGCGCATACACGCACAACTTCATGGTATCTCCTGTGATCGTATTTCTGACCAAATATTATGTTTTGTTTCACTGAAGATGGAAATAACCAGGGGTCCTGCGAGGCGTAGGATATGCTGCCGTTTACGTTGACAGTGCCATCTTTTAATGGAAAATCTCTTAGCATTGTTTTTACTAGAGAGCTCTTCCCACAACCAACAGTCCCGGAAACTAAAGTTAAACCTGAGGATATTCTAAGATTGATATGTTTTAGTATTTGGATGTCTTTAATATGAACTGATACATTATTTAATTCTATCAGGGGTTTATTTGTATCGTCGCTGCTGTCATAATCTTTAATTTCCTCTGCGTTAAGGACTTTTGTGATTCTTATGAGGGCTGCATACATGTCAGCTCCTCTGGAAAGACCGTAAGGTATATCGATAGCCAATATACTTCTCAATCCTTCAAGGCATGTAAGCACATAAAATACCATCTCCACATTTGTAGTGTAACCAAACCATAAATAAACCATTATAAGAAAATAAAATGACACCTTCGAAGAAAACAGACCGATAAGAATCACTACCACTCTTATGTAAAATGTTTTCAACATTATCATTAATTCTTCATGTCTTGCTTCTGTGACTTTGTTATCAAAGAATTTTTCCCAAGTATAAATTTTTATTATTTTAATGGCAGATAATACTTCTTGCATAATTTGTAATCTATCATCGGTTTTCTTGTTCATTTTGAGCCTCATTTTCATCACAACTTTGGCAAAATACACTACAAAATAAATGAAAAACAAATATTAGAAATATTCCCCAACACCAAAACAAAAAACAAAGTGCTTAAAGAATACTAAGATGCCAAGATCGTTGGCGAAAAGTATACTTTTCGCCAACGATCTTAGCATCTTCAGAAGGGAAGTGTAACTAAATTTAAATGCTAAATCTATCATATTTATACTAATTAGTTTCGGGTGAAGAATGCAATAAGTATTATTTTTAATGCTCTTTCCCACTAGCGCCGCCATCGGAAAAGCAGTCACACCTCTTTTAAAGAGGTGTGACTGCTTTTCCGATGGTGTTGTCGAACCTACCGAAATTTCGGCATTTCTACATAAATGTCAATAATTATGTTTCTACCGATTTTTTTACCGATTTTTGGCAATAATAACGATTTTACCCTTTTTGCCGATTTTTTTACACAACCATGGTAACACTCGAAACAAAGTAAAATTTTATAAAAAAAATAGTAAAACGTTATTTGTGACAGTGATTATGTGGTAGATGGTTAGTAAATATTATACTTTTGGAGGCCTGTAATTTTTAGGAATGTTTCCCTAAGAAAATTCGCTGAATTTCAAATAAATGTAACAATGTAATGACTTACTTTGCAAAGGAAAAACCAAAAACATCAAACTTAGTCCAATCAAAGAGGTGGGCCCCATTTTGCTATACACCAAATAAGAAACATAAACGGATTGAACAGCCCCAACCCACATGTCGTTGATGGTCCAAACGTTTTCTTCAAAGGAAGTTACATCTTTTGTAATAATTGTGACAATATTACCTAAACTGATATCGTTTAAGGCGCTAGGTGATAGCTTTAATGCTTTTCTGTATATCAACGATGAATATGCGGTTCGCACTTTTAATGCAAACTGTTGTAGAATTAAAGTATAGTTATGGAAGAATATTATTCTAAATATGTTTAGAAATAATACCATTCCAGCACTATAATATGCCTGTTCTTGTGTGATAGTTGGATTGGGGCTGAAGTAACCTATAAGGTTGCTAACAGCTTCGGGTTCCAAATGACTGAAATTTGTTTGTTATAAAATGTACATGCACGTTAAAAGTCCACCCCTGTTATCTTTTAAACGAAAAAAGGTTTCGACATCGGACAGAAACCATTGGTATTTAAACTCTCTATTTAACGCATATCAAATTATCAAATAAAATGTTGCTTTCATTTATTAGATACAAGGGCTTCATTTATTAAGTACTCCTTACGAATTAACTATTTGGTAGACCAAGTCGATAATTCCTAAAATCATGTATTCCTTTCCAAATTTGCTTATGAGCAAACCAAGTGCAGTGGGGTTGCTTTTTTCCTTTTCTTTTTTCCATTGCAATTCTATGTTGTTACCACATTTTGATGAGTTGCAGCTAGATATAGCTTCACATAGATGTTCATCTTCCAAGTCCTTTTTAAAACCTTTTTTGAATAAGGAAACTAAATAGCTGAAAGCATACGATTAATATTTTTAGTTTAAACCTTGTAAAGACACTTACAAAAAAGAATACTTTGACAAAAAATTCGTCCTTTCCCTTGGATCCTTTTTTCTTACTTTCTGTTCACAATGATCCATTTTGGAACTTTATTTCAACAACATTTGCACATGTCTGATCAATTCATAATAGTCTGCATTATATTTATTAAAACATAAAAATATAAGAAATTGATTAGAAATAGGCCGGCTATCGCGAATTTACAATAATATTTACAAATCGTGCCGAAAGTTTATTATATTAAATTAAATATGAGTAATTGTGCATTGCATTTAAATTAAGACAAAATATGTGATATCATTATCTTATATAAAATTATGCAATACATTTTTTTGTGCAAAAGTGATACTACTAGTATACTATTTAAATCAGTTTCTATTCAATTTAAATCAGCAAAATGACTTAAAAAATTAATAAATAGTTTAAACATATCATACCTTTTCACTTCACACTGTTATAACAATTATAAAATGCGTTAAACTTAAAATTGCGAAAGGATGTAATAATTAATAAAATAAATGTATCAAGGACCAAGGGCAATACACATATGTAAATGTATTTTAAAGCTAAATGTGGCGCGTGGTATTTTATGAAAATGACTTTGTAAAATGTGTTTTTTGCAAACATTTAGCTTTAACAACAAGAATAATTACTGATAATTATTTTCGGTAATTAAGTACAGTATTCCAAGGTTGTTAATTCAAAAGGATTTTTTATAATCGTATTGGCTATTTTTTTGTATTTAGGTACCCGAACTATAATTGTTTGCAATTTTGGTAATGTGATAATAGCGTGATATATAATTTGGTAATAAAAATGCGTTTTATGGAATGTTACAAACATACCTACCAGAAAATATTGCAAAATTAATTTTTTTAAAATTTTATATGTAATATGATTTAAATTTATTTTGGATTAAACAAATATTAGAAATATCCCCCAACACCAAAATAAAACAAAAAGTACTTTTTTAAAAATAAATTATTCTGTTTAAATCAACATTTATCCCTTGAAAATAGACTAACAATCGATATAGAAGTAGTTTTTTACAGTAAAAAAGAAGATAATGTTTAATGGGCATTGTAAGCAAATTTTTTAACGCTTTATCATTTAAATCTAGTTAACTGCACTACTACGGTGAAATCAAAAGGTCAGTACAAACGTTCATATAATCTTTTCAAATATTGGCGTCAAGAAACTATTTAATACTTTTGTATTAACTATGGTGCCAGAATGCATGACATGGGGTTGGAATTTTTGAAATATTAAATAATTTAATTTTTCAACAAATAGCTTGAAAAAAATCATTTGAAATTAGGCAAACTTAAACAATAATAAAGTTTTTATTATAAATGTAAAACCCTGTATGTTATAACATGATCAAATAGAAAATTAAAGAATCTTTCGATTGGTAATATAACTGTTTCCTAAAGTTAAAATTTTACTTTAATTTAACAATTTCTAATATTTTCAATACAATTTTGTATCAACAAACCTGTGAAATTCCACATGTGGGTTAATGTGACAGTATCCATGGTTACCACTTAATCTGTCGTTGTTTAATAGTATATTATGTATCAAGTTTGATAAACGCCATTTTGTACACGAATTTAATTTAGGCACGAGCAAGCTTGCGAGCGAGTGCTTAAATTAATGAGTGTATAGAAAAGTTTATAAACGAGATGCATACTATACATTCTCTACGACAAATACTTATTTTTATCATAAAATGATTTAAATCAAAAATTAATATAGAGCGCCATCTATGAAACAATAGGGGAATCTGTGAGTCACCGTCAAAGGTCACATTTTTGTATTTTATAAACACAGATTATAAAGGTTATAAATCAAAATGTATTTCTTAAAAATTGACAGTTTTTCACAGTGAAAGTAAAGAAAATGTTTTATGAGGACTTTACAGTGCCCAAATTTAAGTTATAGTTTACTGCCGGCAAAATTAAAAGGTCAGTACAATGTTCATTTAAACTTTTCAAATATTGGCGTTGAGAAACTATTTAATAATTTTGTATTTTTGTATTAAGATAATAAAATAATTTTCACATTTAGTATTTTTTTACAAGAAAGGCACTTTATTTTAGCGATTGTATGACATTTGACAACTGTCAACTTCAGCCACTGACTAAAGCGCCATAAAGCCACAACTTGTCAATGTGTATTTAAAAGGTCACTTAGTGTCATGGAAACATGTACGATAAAGGGCGTTTTAAAAGTGGGAGTAGAAAAAATTAATTAAAATATTTGATTGAAAAATTAATAACTAGAAAAATATTGACTTTAGGTATAGCATATGGTATAGCCATTTTACTCAGAATTTTATGTAGAATTCAAAAATGAAAATGAAAAAGTTTTACATTTCCGCTAAAAAAGTATTATTTTGTTCAAAATAATTTAAGAAAAAAGGCTAAATCGAATAATTTACGCTATTAAAATTTTAAATGGATGTCTTTTGCGATTCCCTAGAAACTTCTAACGGACTACGTACGTGAAACACTCTGTATATTAACGTCATTTATGTGTTATGCTATACTTAATTCAGTGGCGTAGCTAGCCTCGAGGGGCCCCCGTATCAAAAATCTGGTAGGGGCCTTTATACGGGAAAAGCTGCTGGCAAAAAAATTTCAGGGTGTCACGCCCAAATTCTATTTTGGGCAAACAAAAAAAACTTTTAGGGTATCATTTTTTGCATTTATCAATTTTTTATAATTAAATAAATAATATATGTATACATAGCTTTTTATTTATAGGCAAATTTTAAAATTTGGTCCGGTTTTAGACATTTACCGTTCTTCAACATCTTTTAAAAGGTTTCTATTTTAAAATAAAGGCAAGTCATTTGAAATAATTATAACGCTAATACCTAATTTTTTCTAATTTGTTATTAATATAACCTATGATAATAACACGCAAAGCAGACTCAGTATATATGTGTCGTAGAGCACAGAACAATATGCGCAGACTGCGCCGCAGACAACGCATAGCGGAAAGGTGCGGGCAGAAACAATTCGTATAAGTTCAGGGCCTCGTTGGAACAGAAGGGTATTCAGGAAAATTTTAATTTAATAAATCGAAGTATAAACAATTAAATAATAATTATATTCATTTAATTTCATGCCTCAATTTTTTTAACATGTGGGTAATATGTTTTTTGCTTACGCATGTCGAAGCGGTATCATTGATACGGCTGATACCGCGGTAGCTACGTCTCTGACTTAATTATTAAGGCCCGGATTTTAGGTAAAACACCTTTTGTTGGTTTTTTAGGTTTTAAAGATATTTTTTTGTATTTGTCCGTTTTATAAAAAATGGAGTCATCTGACTAAGTTTTATTTGACCTAAAATACCTTTTTTATATTTTTTTCACCTATTTTCCTTTTTTGCAACTAAATTGTATTTTTAATACCTAAAATGAACTTTTTTTACCCAAAATATACCTATTAATTTTAAGTTTTACTCTTAATCATAAAAGTTTTTTTTTATTTTAGAGTTCCTATTATGTTTTTTTGCTATTTTACATTATTTGTGATACTTACTTTTTTAAAAAATCTTTTATTTTATTTGTTATTTTTCCAACCAAACATTTTCAGTTAATGTTAATAATAAATATTATTTTAATAACTATTTCATTTTTAATTTAAATCCTTTATTGCCGGACATTAACAGAGCAATTATAATGTAACTAAAACTACATAAGACCTATGTATGGTTTTACAACGATATATCGACATTATAATGAAAACATTTTATTTCAATAAATCAGCTTATTTTATTTTTTTATTTAAGTACCTAAAATGTAGGCACCTAAAATATTAACCTAATTTTATAACTATGACACCTATTTTTTAGATTTTTTTTTTACTTTTTTATAACCTAAAAATACGGGCCAACCAATATTAACTTTTTAATTAAGTACCTAAAATAATAACCTATTTTATTAAAAATATCACCTAATTTAGGAACCTTTTATCACTTTTTTATGACCTAAAAATCCGGGCCTTATTAATTATTAATAAAAGACACAACAATATTTGTATAAAAATGACAAAATGTACCAAATTAAACATTTATGAATACTGCTACTGCTAATTCAAAACTGATCCTGGCCACAGAAACATCATTTGCATAAAAAAGTTAATATATCAAATAATAGTTAAATATCAATACTTCAACGTGTTACAAAAAAAAGTTGCTTCTTAGATTATTTACCCTTTAAAAATTGTTAAATTTTAAATTAAATTATCACCACCCCCTGTAAAAATCTAAACAAAATTTTTTCATGGAATAATTGTCATTAGTAAGATCTACATTTTGTCCAAATTTCTAATTAATACGTTTTGCAATAAAAAAGTTGTAAAAAAAATGAAATTTCTTCATAACAGTAAACAAAAAAAAAAGAAAAACCACAAAGTTGCCAATGGACGAGATTTTTTTTTAAAAGTACTTCATTTAGATGTTCTATCGATTTCTTGAAACCTTGCAAATCGACCGTTCGAACCTTTCGCTACGATAATGAGTTTTAAAGGTGGAAGTAGAAAAAACATTTTTTGAATTAAATTTCTTTATTAATGGGAATTATATGAATAATTAGGTATAACAATGACAATGTGGGGTAAAATCGATTATTAGGAATCAGCTAAGTAGTAATAAATTGCGTTATTTTGGCACAAATCAAGTGCAGATTATTTCAAATTGAATTATGTTATGAGCCTGGCACATTCTACTAAGTGGACCCAAAAAATAAATGTCCATCCTTGGCTTAACTTTAAATTAATATTGTAATATTCAAGAATATTATTAATATAATATTGTCGTTTACGAGCAATACATTTCGTTGGATTTTTTGGATTCACGAAGTAACTTAATTATTATTTTTTTCATAAGAGTTCATGCTAAAAATAATTTTTACATTCAATAAATACAATTTAAATTGTAATATACCTATTTAACAATATAGCAACAAATGTATTTTAATAACATATCATATATCGTACTTCTATACCCAATTTATTAAGTCTAAAAAATTTCGTATTGGAAATGTCCATTTCTTTTATTTAACACAAAATGTACAAACTCTTATTATTCGTAAGCAATGTACAGATAAGGTTCCTATTAAGTATTTATTTGGTCTCACTGGTAAAAAGGTTCATTCAAGATTTTTAAACGCAATTTTATCTCACTTTAACATT